GTTCAAACTTTTGCATGTGACTGTATATATTTCCTGTCAGAACAAAACGTGTCTCCATTTTAAAAATTTATTTATTTATTTTGCAGTTTTTGTGCACACCGTTCTGCAATAGAATTGGTCCAGAATGACTTAGAATAAAATAGTTTTACATCAACTTACATTGAACATTAAGTTTTTTCTTTCTCCTGTAAAGTTACTTTTTTTGAGGTTTTGTTTCAACAGTGACAGTATGCTGACACATACGTGCACATAGACATACTTAACAACAGTCATATCAGCCAGTGAAGCATTGATTAAAGTTAAGTTATTGGAATTTTCAGTCTCTTTAAATCAGTGTCATTGCAGTTTTTCATATCAGTGAGGCTCTAATATTAAATACTTGTTAAAAAATATGGAGGTCATTTTCCATCATCCACTGCTGGGTCTTCAACTTCGTATATCTCAGATTCCATTAAGTTTCCAAGAACTGGAAACTAAAGGGCGATGATGGTAATGATGATGATTAAGATGCTGATGACTTCCTCCCCTGTAGGAAACATCTGCGTTTATTAATATTGTATGGCGTGCATTATTAGGTAATTGGCTCCAACGACCCCAGTCAAGTCTCTGTTACCAATCTTTCTGGTTCACAACAAATCTTATGCAGCTGTTATTAAAATATAGAAGTTTGTGGGCTTTTAAATCCATGCACTGTGATTTTATGGAAGAAATGTGAGCTGTTCTGTTCCTGCAGTGCTGGAATCGTCATTATTTTCTTGAAGGAAATTGCTGTTCGTTTGAGACACAGTGAAAATCTCCGCTTTGTTCAGCTGGCAGGATGTGTTCAGCCGTTCTATTTTTGTAGCATTAGATGTAGCCACCCATTCCTGTCTGGCGTGTAGCCATGATCATGACTTAGTGTGTGTTTTTGTGTGTGTTTGTAAGACTGAAAAAAAGCAAGAGAGCGACCAGGAAACTTCTCTTCCCTTCTCTTTTCTCTTCTCTTCTCTTCTCTTCTCTTCTCTTCTCTTCCCTTCTCTTTTCTCTTCTCTTCTCTTCTCTTCTCTTCTCTTCTCTTCTCTTCTCTTCTCTTCTCTTCTCTTCTCTTCCCTTCTCTTCTCTTCTCGTATGTTGTCTTCTCTTCCCTTCTCTTCTCTTCTCGTATGTTGTCTTCTCTTCCCTTCTCTTCTCTTCTCGTATGTTGTCTTCTCTTCTCTTCTCTTCTCTTCTCTTCTCTTCTTTTCTCTTCTCTTCTCTTCCCTTCTCTTCTCTTCTCTTCTCATATGTTGTCTTCTCTTCCCTTCTCTTCTCTTCTCATATGTTGTCTTCTCTTCGCGTATGTTGTCTTGTCTTCTCTTCTCTTCTCATATGTTGTCTTCTCTTCTCTTTACGTATGTTGTCTTCTCTTATCTTCTCTTCGTTTATGTTGTCTTCCTTTCTCTTATCTTCTCTTTTCTTCTCTTCTCATCACGTATGTTGTCTTCTCTTATCTTCTCTTTGCGTATGTTGTCTTCTCTTCTCTTCGCGTATGTTGTCTTCTCTTATCTTCTCTTCGCGCATGTTGTCTTCTCTTTGCGTATGTTGTCTTCTCTTCTCTTCACGTATGTTGTCTTCTCTTCTCTTCTCATATGTTGTCTTCTCTCATATCAGACCGTATCTTCTCTTCTCATGTCCTGTTGTAGCTTCTCTTCTTCTGTTGTGTCTTGCATCTTGTCATATCTTCTTGTATCTTCCAGTGCTCTCCAGCCCTCGTGTTCCCTTTTCTCTACCTCTTCTCCTCCTCTTCCTGTATTGCCTTTCATATATTGTCCCTTCTGCTTTCCTGTTGTATCTTCTCATGTTGTATTTTGTATCTTGTATTTTATCTTCTTGTGTTGTACTTTAGGTTCTTATATTTTCTCGTATCGCCTCTTCTTGCCGTATTGTCATGTCGTACCGTATCGTTTCTTCTCTTTTCATATCGTTTTTTCGTTTCCTGTCACCTCTTCTCATTTCTCTACTCTTCTTATATGGTTCCGTGCCGCATCTTCTTTTGTATCATATTGTCTCTTATCATATCTTCTCATTCTCATATCTTTTCTTGTTTTCTCCTCTTTTCTCCTCCTTTTGTCGAATCGCATCATATCGTACCACATCTTACCGTCTTCTCAAAGGCCGTTTTCTTTTCCTGTATCAAATCGTCTGTTCTCATATTGTATCTCCACTTCTCAAAATGTTTCTTCTTTTCTCTTCTCCTCTTCCCTTGTCCTTCCTGTTGTATCATACCATACTGCATCTTCTCATATCCGATCGTCTTATATTGTATGCTCTCTTCTCTATCTTTTCTTCTTATCTCCTCTTTTTCTCCTCTTTTCTTCTCATGTCTTCTCGTATCTTCCACTCACTTCTCTCTCCTCTCCCATCCTCCTCTCCTCTTCTTTGCCACAATGGTGCCGCTGTAATCCTTCTGCTTGGCCTCTGGTTTTTATTGGCCCATTGCTCTGTTAGACAATGGTGAATGGCCCTTTTGGTTATGCTAGCATTGAACTTGCAGACTGCATTTCAGAACCTCTGCTATCTGCACGCACACAGACGGACCTTGTTCGTGTGTGTGTGTGTCTCAGTATCCTGATAATCCCTATGGAGGATTAATAGGTAATAGAAAAGAGCAGAATAGAGCCGCTGTCTGGGAAGATGATGTATTGCTTGGCCATTTGGGGCAAAGAGGAGATCATTGCTGTCCCGTGACAGTGGATTTCAAATTCTACTTAGACATGCAGAAAACTCTGCTGTTTCATCTTCCTTTTAAATAGAGATGTTTAAAGTACTTCCTTATGTTTTTGAGTTGTACTGATACAGTGATTAATTGTTGATGTGTGTCTTTTTATTTTTCTATATATTCGTTAAGGCCTGACTGATATGAATGTACTGATATACTGAAATACTGTGGATTATATATGGAATACGGCGAAAAGTTCAGAAAATTGATATCAACCAATATAATTTTACATTTATTGTTATGCATAAATGTAATTGTCAGTTGTCAATTGTCACACTTCTTAAACTCAGCAGAAACTCAGTCTTATTTAATATAAATTTTATAGCCCTGCGGCTACACAGAGTTTTAGTTCAAATCTGTGTGATACCACAACCAAAAAAATTTGCTTATTATTGGCACGTTATCAGCAGTATTTTCATAGGTTAAAATTGCGGGTTGGCAAGATCAGCCAATATTATCAGCTAGCTGATATAACCTGCCAGCCCCAATATTCATACTTATCACTACAATTTACTACAAGAGCTTCTCAGTGCATGCAGGAGGCCAGTAAACCTTGTAACATTTCTTCTGAAGCTTCTGTCTATGTTGACCTTACATTTGCAATGGCATCAACTATTGTGATCAAATTGCAATGTTGTGAAGCATTGTGATGTTTTGAACTGTGAGCTAGTTTGGTAGTAATGAGCTCCCCAACCCTTGTGTATTTTTGTCTGCCGTCTGTTACGTTATGAACTCGATTACCACAGACGATCATTTTGACGTTTTTTCTGACTCGTGTTGAAAAACACGAAAATTCCTGAGAGTGAAACTGTCAGACAGTTCCAGTAGATTACTTCATCTGCAAGAGCAAACCGACTCCTTAGTTCACATTGATTGCATTCCTTCAACACTTTGTCATTTGTTCCACCTCTCCATGTCTCACTTTGATTCTGTTAAAGATGACAGGGCTGCTGATACTGCGGTGTCTGCAGTTCTCACATGTGCTACTTCCTATTTTAAGGACCTTCTTCCTGTTTTTCTACTCATAAGGCCTTCTCTCTTTGTGGGAGCGTTGAGTATGCTGAATCTAGAAATACAAAGATCACAGTAAAGTATCAAGTACACACTACTAAAAAAACAAAAAAGCTTCTTCTGTTTATGTACAGTGGTATGCAAGATCTTGAACATCCTTGGTCAGATTGGATGTTTTGTTGATTTTCTAAGTGAAAATAAGTTAACACATGCTCTATAGGAAACAAACTTAAATATGAAATTGTTCTGCAAATTTCTATGTGCAATTTTTGTGCAGTTTTGCCAAGTTTTGGAAAATTGGAAAAAAAACATAAAATAAAAAATGTGCCATTACTTTTGGACAGGCCACATTTTGGCCAGATTCATAAAACTCAGTGGTGACAGCACTACGGCACACAAACTAAATAAGGTCTATTCATAAAGCCACCATAGTGGTGATTAGTACACCGGTCTCTTTGAAACGCTGCAGTGTTTTCACTGGTGTCCTAGACTAAGCGCTGATCAAAATCTACATGTAAATGGGTCATAAATATTAAAGACGGTTGAGTATGCTGAATCTAGAAATTCACAGATCAGTGTGTACTTGATACTTCACAGTTATGTACAGTGGTGTTCAAGATTTTAAACACAACTGCACAGTAAAAGTAAGTACAGAGAGCAAACTTAAATATGGCATTTGTCTGCTAATTTTAGCTGGGTTTAACCTAAAAAATAAAAACATAAAATGTAAAATGTGCTATAGCTTTTGCACAGCCCCCATTTTATGTTTTATTTTTTCCCTAATATGTCAAATTCAGTAGATAAAGCAGGAAGCATTTCTGCACTGAAATGTGATGAAATGTTTTCTGTAGAGGGTTATTTGCTGATTTTGGTTGAATTTTGGAAAACAAGTACAAACATAATTTGACCAGGGGCGCCTTAACTTTTGGATACGACTGTATAAGCTAATTCTGATTCTAAGTTTAAGTATTCAAACCCATCCATGGTGTAATAGGTAATCCCTACCGTTCCAGCTGCACTATCCAAACATTCCCTTTATTATTTTTTTTTTCTTTTCCTTGGCCAGTGGTCTCACTAAGCTCTTTTCCAGAGTACAACAGTGCACATTAAATCCAGTGATCTACACTGACCGGCAGCGTTTGGCATTAAACCTTTAAACCTTTGCATAGATGAAACAGATTTGAGTTTCTGACTGATGATGATAGTGATTGCCAGCAGTATTGACCTGTTGCTCTCTCTTTTCTCTCTGTAGACCTGCTAAATGGAGCACAGGAGAAGTGTGAGCTGCCTCTGCTCGATGGCTTCCCGCACTGTGAGGGCAAGATGAAGGTGAGTCTGATATATGGACCATTCTACCGATTTAGGTCAAACTGTGGTCCCACAGTCTGTATTTGTGAAAAAAGCAAACAAGCAGATCCAGACCTGACATATTTTTAAGGATTATATTCTAATCTAAAATTAAGATTATTATTTATAGGGCACTTTATGTAATTCTTTTTTATGTTTGTTTATTTTTGTGTTTTTTTTTGTTTTTTTTTTTTCTTCATATTGTGTTTAATTTTGAAAAGAAAAACTTTGGAAAATACTGTCCCGTGTTTTCTTTATACTTCCGAATGTTTTAGTCCATAAGCGGAGCCTTATTTTGGCCACACCTCTGCATTTTGGAGGTTATTGGATACATTCGGCCATTTCAGCCCTTAGAGATGTTTTCATTGTGGAAATTCATATTGCACTAACATTAAAAACATGATTTATCGAGCAGACCTTGCTACCATATAATGACAGTAGCTCATCTGTTACTGCACAGTTTACCTGCCACTTCTACTCAAAGGGAAGATCACCAAACAGATCCACCGGGATTTCACAGCCAGTTTTTTGTGATTATTGCAGCATTTCTTGACATTTGCTGCAATAGGGGTGGCAATATAGAAATTTGTGAAGGTTAAGTCTAACGTTCATTTAACTTGTTTTAAATATATCCTAGTAAATTTCTGTCAAAACAAATATGACATTAAGTGTAAAGCAAGATAGCACTGCTTTGAAGTCTCAAAAAGAGTATTTCTTTAAATGTTGTACATAAAAACTATTCAATAAAATTGGCTACAACACAGTGTACTGATAGATTGTCCATATGTACACTCTGCCAAATGAATTTTCTCCAGATAAACTATAATAATCTGAGGAAATGTATTAAAATAAAGTACTCAGCTGCAGCTCTGAGCTAATATGACCCCGGCAGCTAAAGTGCTTTGAATCAATTAACACACATCTGTATTGCTACAAAAGGCTTCATCACAGCACATACAGCAGGAAACTGCTTGCAAAAGACATGGAAGAGTGTTCACACGGATGTGCAGATAGGCAATCACAATGGAGCTGACAAAATCGTGATTGTTATGACCAGCTTAGCTTAGATTATTATTCTTTATTTTATAAAGTTTATTTCACATAATCAGTCTATGTTGATGTTGCTGATACGTAGTAGCTGCACGCTTCACTTTGAAAGCACTTTAGACATGTTTAGTTGTTGAATTTGTGCAGGATCTCAAATTCCTATAGGGTCTGATCATTCTCAGCACAGCCGTCATATCAATATGGTGCTGGTGTTGCTGGGGATATAGCCAAATAATTTCTAGTCAGCAGTAGAGCTTTCCACCGTTGATCCAACTGGCAACTTGGTGTACAATATAACTATTATAACACCCCTCACATCACTATCATTCATATACAGAGAAACTCTTATTATTCACTCCCAGAAACCGATGGTCGAAAAAAGACCTTGTAATTCACAGACACACCCACACACAACCCTGTCCACCCAGTAACTAGCCTCTCAACACGGCTACTATCACACACACCATCTGCTACCACATTGCCCTCCTGCTTGTAGCAGTGTGGAGCTCTCAGTAGATAGTGTGCATTTTAGTGAAACAAAGAAGGAAACAGAGGCTACTACTCAGCTCTGTGTCTGATCAAATCAGCTGACCAGTAATATCAGCTTAGTTTGAACTTATTACTATCAGCAAAAAATCTCTGGTTTGTTTTATGTTGTAATAAACAGACGTGAAGAAAGTGGATAATCACTGTGGATTTCGTGGTTCATGCTTATGTAGCAGTCTTGGACACTGCTAAGCTGACCACCTGCTCAATGTAAAAGCACCTAAATAGAGATGATATCAGCTATTATGATCAGACCCATATCAGCAGAAAATGCCTGATTGGTTATTGTAAGGAAAAAGGAGAATTAATCCAGGCCTGTAATGTAATAGAGGAGAATTTAATCTTATTAGCCAAGAAACTGAATCTGAGAGAAGATGAAAGTTTCAACAGAACAATGAGACAAACATGCAGCTAAAATAACTTAAGAGTAGTTATAGTAAAGGTGAAGGTGCTTGTATGGCCTAGCAAATCTCCTTACTTGAGTCCCATTGAAAATTTATAGAGGATTTTGAAATTGCGAGACCAACAGTGATCGTAACCGTGGGCAGTTGAAGACGGACATTCTGACCACCTGCTCAATGTCAAATGGACCCTAAATAGAGATGATATCAGGTGTTATCACGCCGATATCAGCAGAAAATGCTGGATTGGAAATCGAAGGGAAAGGAAAGAATGAATCTGATCCAATCCTGTAACAAATCTACTATGAAAAAGCACACGCTTACACTGTGTGATGTAATGTCAGCTGTGTGGGGTAGTAGAGTGTTGAAGTAGTTTGATACATGATAGCCTACTTTTGGATGTTCATTTCTAGTGAAGTGCTTCAATTAAAAATAACTCATTTTAAAGCTTTAGAAGTTTTTAGAAAAAAAAGTCAGTGTCAGCCGATACTCAAGGTTTTAAAATCTGTATCGATATTACGAAAGAAATAGTGGTATCATGCGATGTCTACACCCAAACCTAACCTTCAGCACAAGAATAACAAAACTCTAGGCCTGTCAAAACTATTACATTACTATTACTTTCACATAATTGCAGTAGTTTGAGCTGATCAGTTATTTTCCACAGTTATTAGCTTTCACAATGTCTGAGTCACAGCAAACACAATGTGAATTGGGTGAGCTGGGTTGAAGAAAATACATGTAAATGGAAGAAAGCAGCAAGTTTTATTGACACACATCATGAGTCTTACAAAACAAAAAAATTGCTTTAACTTCTGAATTGGTGCTGTAACACCTTTAGAAGTCTTTGAATAGAGAGATAGAGCAAGCAAGCAGGGAAAGCAGCATGGTAGAGTTCCTGCATCCTCTGTGCTCTCTTTCTGATGCATATTTAGCTGCTTTTGGAAGCCCACTTCTTTTATATTTTCTCCCGGCGTTCAGTTCTTTCTGTTCTCACCCGAGTCAAGTGAAGATATTTCTCCCTGCTCCCTCTGCACACGCTCATGCACATGAATTGAAAGCGGCCCATTGAAATCTGAACCATAAAGGCTGTGTGCTTACTATCGCTCCGAAACGCTCATCTGCAGGTTTCTTATTCTAAATCCCAGCTGTCATCGACGAGCACAGGAGCTTTTGATACTCTCCCTCTCCGCGGAGTTCGTTTCCAGCCCCTGTATTCATTCGGAATCCAGACACAGACTTTTTAATTAAAAGATCTTAGCTCTCGACGCTCTCCTGAGAAATACAGAGCGTCGGTGCGATACCGCAAAGACTGTGATCCTTGTTCTTCTCCTCCACATTCCGCTACTGATGAGAAAGTCAAATTTTATTCATTCTTTATAGGGGTATATAGGCTTAGGTGATTGAAATCTTTATCACTTGTTGTAGAAAGGTTTGTCAGCTAGAGATCCAAACAGGTGTTTTGGTAAGAAATATAAATTTAAATCATGTTTTATTGCAGAAGTTTTGACATGATGGTAATTGTAAATGTAATTGTCGCAGAAAGAAATTCCGGTGAGCTGGTGTCTTGTTATACGTTCATGTCATGGAAATTGGTGCTGCAGCAACTTTATTCATTAACAGTAATTGGTCACTGGAGACAGTTCGAGTAGTTCTGACTACACTGGTTTTCTTTTGAATGCACCACTTGCTAAAATTAGGGCTGCAACTGGCAGTTCTTTCCATAATCAATTAATCAGTCTAAGAGGGAAAGAAAAAATGCACTTATTGGCTGGCCAATAATAAACATTAAATAGATAATATTATTCACAATATTTTGTTAAAGAAATGAAAATTGAAAGTATGATTTTACCTTTTGCACAATGCTCTTTCAAATGTAAACAACTGCCCCACATTATAAATAATATTTGGGGGGAAAATACAAAAACAAAAAAGCTTTAATTAATGGCATATTGACGCATCCTGCATTGCTCTCAAAAACGCCACAGAAGCATTAAAGGTACAACTCAACAAATAGTCATGATTTTCTCAACAGCACAGACAGTCATTAGAAAGAAAAACAACAATCTCCATCTCTATCCTGTAAACCGTTTTCCAAAAACTCAGTTTTCAATGAAACTTCAAATTTATAGGATGTGAGAGTGAAGTGTGTGTACTTAAATTTTTGACTTTTGAAGTCGGTTCACAACTGTAATCTCCACTGTCTGTATTTTCTTTTATTTTCTAATGTTAAATGGGAAGCATAAGCATTGTCAGCTAGTTTGAATGACCAGTTACAAAGTGCTTTAGAGAGGCAGCTTCATCAGTCTGATGGTGTTTTTCCAGCGTACTGCTCTTGCAGTGAACCTGAAGTTTTACAGCCAGTCCCGATGGCTTATTAAACCAGACCAACCAACCACAGTAACTTTGACAACTTAGGCAGTAGAAGTAGATTTGTCTGAATTCAGCGTCAGGCCAAGATAATGAAGTGTTCACGTGGGAATTCCTGTGCTTACTGGAACGCTTTTAAGTCTGAGAAAAATGAAACAGTCCCTGACCCTGGAAGTCCAGGAAGAATGAAATCTGCTATTTCACCTTCCAGAAATCTCAGCTAAATATTAACACTTTCCAGCCTGACATGAATCAGGTTGCTCTTCAATCATATTTTATGTTAAATACAGTTTTATATTCTAAATGTAAAAGTGTTACCATTGTATTCCTAACAGCCTTCCACTTCCTACTTTGTGTTGTTTTTGCTGGAGATTATTACAGTTGTTGAGGAAAAAGAAAAATAATTAATTAACAGCTGAAAATTGTAAGTTTCTAAAACAATATTAGGCCGCGTCATGAGCACAGAAATAGCCTACAGCTCCTAACAAAAGTTCTGTTTCTTTGTAATTTTTCTGTTGTTTTTAGCATTCACGTTAAACAATCTTGTAATCTGGGCCTGCTGCAGCCCCCTCAGTACCCCTATTTTATGCAGTTTAATACATATATAATGCTAAACATGTAATTCCAAGAAAGTGTCCTTTTCACCATTAGTGTATTTTTTACTTTTTAACTTTTAACTAGTGTTTGGTTCAGTGCTGAGATACAAAGCCCACAATCAAGCATATAATTAACTGCTTAATTATTTGTGACATTAAATATTTCAACAAATGAGCTTCAGCGGGCCTTTGTGGACAGTGTCTAGTTTCGGACAGAGCGGTTTATTCCTGTCCGTTTGTGCTTGTGTTACTCTTATGGTGCCGAGTCAGCTTATCTTTGTCCCCTATCAACTTCATCAGAGGCGCATAATCGATAAGTGTGATTTGAGCCACACAAACTCGGATCAATGAGTCCTTCTGTGCCCTGCAGTGCCTGTTACAGCACAGAGTAAAAAGATCTGGACGAGAAGAAACTTAACTTTATTTCAAGGGCAAATTGGACCGGCTTTTCCTCGGATGCATTAAATATTCAGAACAAGCTCAGCGAGCACCTCCTTATGGTTAAAGTAAAGTTGAACTGTTGGCAGGGCAACTCTGGCACACAGAGTGTAATGGTTTTTGTTAGAGATTGTGTTAGAGGCCTTCTCCTTATCTGATACGGATGCTGAAACATTGAGTCTCGACCAGTACTGGTCCAATATTTACTTGCTACTAGGTAGGGCCATCATACCAACCCGGAGTGAGCAAGGCCAGTTGTGCTCTCTTGAACTCTCAGCCACATTTGGCTATGGCATCGCTGGGAACTATGCTCAGGATCTCCTGACAGTAGGGCCAATGCTTCGAAATGTGGGCTAAATTACACAATTAAAGCCTACTTTGTTTTACGCTGTGCTACAGGCTATTCTGTGATATTTCAGGCTAGATTTGTTATAGAATCTGATTCTTGCCATCTAAACTTTGTGTTTAGGGCTGGATATTGCTCAAAATGTTTAGATACCGTGATTTCTATACCGATTCCTGCAATACTTTTTGTATGTACGTTGCGTTATCTGTGTTTATTTGTGGCATACTGGTATAACGGTTACAACTCATATCTCAAGAAGAATTTCAACAGGTATACTGGCTGAACCTTATATCACCCACTTCTATTTGATGCACCTTGGTCAGTACCAGAAAAGTATTGAATTTTAATACCCAGTCCCAGGGCCTTTGGCTGAGCATGAAAGATCTGAGGCTCAGTCCAGTTTATTGAAGAATTATTTAGAGCCACCCTCCCACCGAATTTTTAATTAACCTGTAAAATGTGCATATTTATTGTGAGGGTTTACACATCAACAAAAAAGTGAAAACACTGCTTGTAACAAAAAAAGTCAAAAACAGAGAACCTTCCCAAACGATATTCTGAAAGTCATCCTCACATTTCATTTCTCCGTGCTAACAAAAAGTGTGTGTGTGTATATATATATATATATATATATATATATATATATATATAATATAATTTATCTGTAGTAATATATGTTAATGGTGTGTGCATTTGTCTGGTCTGCTTAATATGTTACATATTATACATGTGCACTCACCAAGACAAATTTTTTGATAATCTATAGATAGACACTGATATTTACTGATATTTGAAAATGCTGAATAGTCATTCAATTAAACCGTGCCTCAAACATTACAAATACATAAGATCACTCTAAAACAAACCATTCCATTTGGGTGATTTTGTGAGTGTCCCAGTAAGCATTGTTAGAGGTACCTGAACCCAGCCTGGCAAAATGTCGAGTAAACATTTTTCACGAACATTAAGCTTGGGTTGAACTTATTACATTTAAAGCATTAAAATGCAGCATTTTGTAATGAGTGAATTTTTATGTAGTACATTTGCTTTTACAGTATTTTCACATCTCTTTCTCGCATGCACTCTTTTGCTCTGTCTCTCTGTAATGTATGGGCTATCTTGCTCTTTCTCTCTCTAACTCTAGTAGCAGTATAGTCTATAGCTCTGCACTCTGAGGTGTGGGTCATTGTGCCCCTGAGTGAAACTATGGACAAAGAGAGGGATGTAAAAACAAGAAATGCGTGACATGTTAACGTTACTTAACATATTTTAAATATTCAGGGCTGTAGCCCTGGAAGCTCAGACCAGACGACTTCCCTGCCTGGCCCTGATTGTGTTCACTGTTTATGTTCATGTGAAACATAGTAGCTGTGTGTAATGTAGCTGTGCACTGCAGAGGAGAATAAAATGGTAGCTAACGCTGTGAATGCTTCTGTAGGGTGGGATCTCAGCTGTCTACATTTTGTTTGTGCAATCTATTATTTTATATGCTGAGTTTGCATCTGCTTTTCTGAACATCTGCTAAACTGCTAACAGATACACAACAAAATCTGTCAGATTATTATTTTTGTAATTATACTATGTAAACACACAGCTAAACAAATGGGTTTGGTGTTAAGGATACTATCTGACACATTTCTCTTCTCCTCCTCAGTGGATGAAGGACATGTGGCGCTCGGATGCCTGTTATGGAAACTACGGAGTGGACGGATCCACTTGCTCCTTCTTCATCTATCTGAGTGAGGTAAGAGCAGCTTGGCTTGTATTGGGGTGCTGGTTCAGCCCCTGGGGGAAAAAAGAATTAGCCATGTTAAAACTTTGAACCCTTCATATGTCATTTTTGTTAAGGTTCATGTCTTGAGCTGTCAGTGTCGATTATATTAATAAGTAAGTAAACTGCCCATTACTTTAATGATCATTTGAATAGTCAAGAGTCTTTAAAAAGGCTAATCAATAATATAGTCTTAGTTAAACATTAGTAAACTATCCATGGCCTTTCAACAATTCTAAATTACGTTATTGTTAAAGGATAAACAGAACCTTAATAAATGTATTTGAAATATGTATAAACACAATATATGTTTGTCAGGCTCTGTGTCTTACTGTGCAATAGTTCAGTAGGAAATGGTTGGGCCTGATAATATCAGGTGATGTTGACAACTCAGCTTTATCAGTATCAGTATCAGAACTAGGATTTACACTCTCCATCACCCAATGGGCAAAACCAGTTGTGCCACTTTGGAACCCAATATGATTCACCCTTTATTAAACTATATTATATGAATACATGAAATTTAAACACAACACCATCATGTTTAACGTGAAAAGTATCCAGACTTAACTTTTAACATGAGAATGAGTGAGGTTATAGCACAAAAAAAACTTTTATTATGAAGAAAATAAAAAAGAAATAGAGATAATTAACAGAAGCCAAAACCATAAAGACTTCTGGGTAGCTCCACCCTCTCTACTACAATATTTATAATATTTAAGACTCTGAGTTTCTTCTGTTTATTAGAGTTTAAGAATATTACAGTTGAGAACTGACAAATCAGTCAGTAAACCAATGTTTGACAAACTATTACACTATGAAATTAAAACATAAAATAAAATTATAAAATTACGTGAGCCAATATTATCGGTAATCAGAATTTTTACATGCTTATCATGATATTGGGAAAATATGCATTATCATCATGCAGATTACCAACTAATCACTACAAATTCATCAAGAAGGTCATTTTTTAATTTTTTCATTAAGTAATTGAGTTTGATGTCTGATCTGTTAATCGCAACAGCCCTAAAGATGTCCTACAACTGCATACAGTATTGTCTATGTAATTGAACAGCTTTTGTTTTGGCTCTGTTCTTCAGAGATCCCAGTACTTTTATTACGTAATCTGCACAATTCAGAGGGCCATAAGTGATCAGACAACTGACTGCTCATTTTGTTTCTGGCTGCCAGATGTGTGTCATTGCATCATTAGTTCATACACAAGCGAGAACAACTTTAGAAAGGTCTAAAGTTGATTCCAGATGTGGCATTAGCATCTGGAGTCTGTTGGTTTTGTGACGGCTAAAGAAGTGCCAGTGTCAGTAAAGCAGACCACCAGGAGGCAAAGGAGAATAAGTCAGAGGAGAATAAGCCATTGAGTGTGTAAAAATCAACTATTTGATTTATTGCTAAGAAGCAAGAATGCGCTGTTCAGGTTAGCAGTCATACCTGATGGGCCGTGAAAACTGGAGTAGTGAATGATTGATGATTGCAGAGTGCATTTAGTCATGAAAAAGAGCCGTGGAACAGATGGAGAGCACTACCTGAGATGTCAGTATAGACGTCCACCATAAAGAGAAGACTCTTCCAGCATGGCCTCAGAAGATTCACCGTTGAAGCGGTGAGGAGCCTCAAGAAGAGAAAGGCCAAGTTACTGGTTGTTTAAAGGTTAAAAAAAAAACAGAAGAGTTCAGGGAGAATGGACAGTCAAGAAGAAATTGAACAGTGATGGAATGAAGAAAGTGTGTACGACTACACTCCCTTGTATACCGGTGCTTTTATATCAACATATTGGCTTGATTTTTGTTCCAGTTCATTTGTAGTGTTGGCAAGACAGAAGAAACGCAGGCGTCGTGTAAGGGAGTGTTTACAGACGTCCCATGTACATAATGTGTAGTTGAAGTGTGACTAGGCCTCTCTTGTGTCTCTCATGTTGTATTTAAGCTTAATAACGTGTATGTACTTGGGAGGATTGTTTTAAAAAAACACTGCCTGTGATTTACATGACATCTGTGTCTCACCTGTGTTTTGTCTTTTGGCAAATAATTAAACAAAAGACAAGGGAGGCAAATTATAGGCAAAAAGTGGACCCACAAGACATTACGTGTACTTTACATGTTCCTCACATGTTGTTTTAGACACAGATGTAGGCACAGGTACCTATTCAGATTGTTAAAGCTGTTGCTCATGCTGCTCAAGATCCAGAGGAAGTTAAACATCTTTGCATGGACATGTACAGTCGGCTCACTTGTTTTTATTGATGATGTGGCTACCGATGACAGGAGCAGAATGGATTCTAAAGTGTATAGTAGTGTCTTAACTCCTCAGATACAGCCAAATGCCTCAAAACTGAGTGGTGCTTCACCTTGCAGCAGGACAGTGACTCAAAGCACATTATTGAAACAGCTATGGAGCTTTAAAGAGTAGGATGTCCTTGACTGGCCAGTCACACATGCTGAAGCCCACAGAGCATTTCACTTTGACAAGACCAAAAGCAAAGACCACTTGAAACAAGAAGCTGTAGTCGCTGCATTACAGGTCTGTAATATCAAGTACTGAACATAGCAATTATATTTAATGTGGTTAATTTAGCCAATTATTTTTGATAAGCTGAAATGAGGGGCTCTGATTTCTTTATGGTTCAACCGCTGTAGAAATATGAAAGCTTACATTATAAACTTTTAACTCCACCTAACCCAATTATGTACAGACTGCACTGTATGTCGCAGTATTTCAGTGTGAGGGCCTGTATTCAGTGATTCGGTTACCTCTATAGCTCCCTCCTCTCTTTCTCTCTTGTGCATATTAGGTGTTGCAAGACTGTTCATTTTTACTACTATTGGTCATTCCAAAGAGTAGCCAGCTAGTTGTCATTATCATATTAAAAAACAAAAAGCGTAAGTGTTCGTCTGTGAAATTTGTTAGTAGTATGCGAACATGGGCTGAGACAGCACATTACTGTGGTTTGTGGTGTGAAATGTGCCCTAAAGAAGAGTTTTGTTGTTTTTTGTTATGTTTCAGCTTAAGGCACTCTGCCTACGGAAGTACCCAGACTTTATGATGTAAACTGAGTGCTAAAATCACCACAGCTCTGTGGTTGATACACTGTCCAATGCAAAACAATTGTCTAAATGCCTGTTTATCAAGCTAAATGGTAGTAGCAAACAGTTGCATCTCTACTTGTCAGTAAGCCTTTAAGAGTCACTGAACCAGGGAACTTTCATAATATCCAGTTTTAAAAAGTAATTGTTTTTGAGACCGTAGGTAGTAAACGAGATATCCTCCTGCGTTTGTCGACCAGAGCTCCAAGTTTTTCATTGCACATGTCGTGCTAAACGTTCTGTAATTTTTGTATGTCAGTCAAATGGCCCTTTACAGCGTTCTTACAGTCTTACACATCTTGCAGTGGAACTGGTTTCATTTCGTGTGGTATTTCCACGCTTTGGGCTTTGTGTTTAGACACGCACTTGCTCACCTTCAGTGATTGTCAGATCAGTCCGGGTCATTGATATTCAGTGATCTTGTAGCCTGAAGGATAAACACACTCTATATGCATCTCTTCCACACAAACACATGCTCACAAACACAAACAGACCCCAATGTGAAAAACATGCTTTCGAATGTTTGCACTTGCTGTACATCATTAAAGGAAGCTGCTCAGTGAGGGAAGAGAAAAAAAAAAAAAACGTACAGTAATTATCAGTCCACTGCAATAACTTTGTAAACAAACTGAGCTGTATGGGATCAAACTGACCTTAGCTTATTCAAACTTAATAGACAAAGCTAGTAAGCTTCAGAAGTATGTTCTTTACTAGCAGCTAGGCGATGTATTTAACATCCTGGGTCAAGATATCTGGTAGGAGTGGACGAAATGCACCAGCAAAACAGAAGTGTCACAGACATGGCTGTGAAGTTTTGAGTACAGTGATTTTTTTTAATACAACGTGGCTGAATGAGTTGACAACCAGTCAGCTACTGATTACTGTGCAGCTGATGAAGCTATTATACATTGGCCTCTATAATTATTCTGTTTTAAGATACATACAGTTTTTCAGTGTTCCAGAAGTACTGATGTTGCTTATGCCCCATTTGAGCTGGATTAGTTTTTACCAGAGGAGGGCCGGTAACGTAATCTGTGCATGATTTCACTGGCCGATCCATACTGGATAAATGACCTTTGTAATATTCCTTAATTTCCCCAAATAGTCTGAACAGTAACACTTTGTTACAGCTTTGACAGTTAGCCTTGTTTTCAGGTGGTAAAAAAAAAACAGGTTTGTTATTACATTTTTGTGTCAAGTCATTTTGAGCAGGACAACTCTTACCAAGGGAGCTCCAGGTTTGACCAGCACTTTATTAATCCCAGAAGGAAAGTCATCTATTACAGCAGCAGAAAGTACAGTAAAGAGCAGAACAAGAGCAAAAGTGTTGTTGTACACTAATATATGGTACAGAAATAGAAAAACTGAAGATATATGAGAAATATACTAAAACAACCATAAAATATAACATGCAGTATGAAAATAAATAAGTAAAATCACATAAATATTATGCAGGTGGCAATGCAGTGGTGCATGTCAGGTCCAGTGAATGAACTGAGTGACTATACACTGTAAACGATAACATATGTTAGTGGTTGTATATGCATGGGTGTATAAATAAGTCACAGTGCAATATGCAATATGTATGGATGTATAAACTATATGGCAGTGCATAGTAAAGAGTAGAGATATATAATGTCCAGTTGGTGCTCAGTGAGCCTGTCCTGTCAGTAGCTCAGCAGGATAAACACAAACTTCCAGTTAATGAGATACAGTAGCGTTAGGCTAGTAAAGAGGGCTCGTTTGACTTAGCAGATGTCCCCCAACAGGACAGAAATAGCTCTGCCACTTAGATATTTCATTCCCCTTCTAATTAGCCTATTGTCAGAAATGTTTTGAACTCCTGTTTTGAATTTGAGGATGAAGCAACTGTGTCAAGATCTCCATTTTAGCAGTTATCATGACAATAATATGACAATAATAACATATGATACAGTCCAGCCCTAGAGCCCATACAGTGGCTATAATAATATACAATAATGTCCATGTTGGATTTTAGAGATTTGGTTTTGTTTATTCACACCAAGTAATCATCTTTAATGGAGCTGAACTCTGTGTGTGTGTGTGTGTGTGTGTGTGTGTGTGTGTGTGTGTGTGTGTGTGTGTGTGGAGGATGATGGAATAGATGGACGTAAGTGTTTTTATGTGGTACTGATGGAAAAATATGTTCTCTTTGAATAACACGTAAAGAGAAATGCAGCTGTGCAGCACACGCTCGCGCAGTACTGGTGTCGCGTGACTTTCACTGTCACCATGACGACAGGAATGCATTTCCATACCAACCGTGTCTTCTCTGCTTCTCCCTATGTGCATCTCTCCTTCAGCCTTTCTCACCTCATCTTCCTCTCTCTCTCCCTCCCTCTCTCTGTCTCACTCTCCCTCTCTCTTTCCTCTTTTTCTCTCTTTTTCTCTCACTGTACCTTTCTTTCTCCTCTTTTATCTTTCTGTCTCTCTCTTTCTCTTACACTCTCTGTTCCATTTCCTCTCCCTGCTTCTCTTCCCTCTCTTCTTCTCTCTGTTCCCGCTCTCTTCTTTCTGTACCCCGATCTCTCTCCCTGCTCTCTTCTCTCTTTTCTCTCTCACTGTTCCCTCTATTCTCTCTTTTCTCTCAGTTCCCTCTGTCTCGTACTCCCTTTCTTATGCTTTTTCTCACTTTCTCTCTTTCTCTTTCCTCCCTATTTCTGTTTCCCCCTTCTCTCTACCTCTCTCTCTCTCTTCTCCCTCTTTTCTCTCTCTTCTGTCACTCATACTACTTCTCTCTCGCTACATTTAGCAGAGCTCTTATCTACAGCGACCACTCAGTGAATGTACCCTAGCTGGTACAAATTGAATACCCTTGAGCTAAAATACTGCCTGAAAACAAAAACAAGAGTCAGCGCTGATGCCTAGAAAGAAATGTACACAATAATGAAATAAGACACAGCATAAGTGCAGTACAAGGCTTTTCAGTAATTGCTAGATTAGTGCTTCACAAAGAGATGGTTTTTCAGATGACTGTTGAAGACAACGAGGGACTCACTTGTTTAGGTGACCAGTGGAAGTTCTAGGCCTGGGTGCTAGGACAGAGAACAGTATTGATGCTGGTTTTCAATGTGTCTTAGAACATGGCAGGTCAAGCCAAGCCATACTTACAAAGCTTAAAGGCCTCATGTTGTGGAATGAGTTTTGAGCATTGCCATGCAGTGTAGAGAGGGTCAAGTCCATTTTGGCTTTGCAGGCAAGTATCCTGGTCTTAAATCTGATGCAGGAAGCTACAGGACGCCAGTGAGAACGCAGCAGTGCAGTAACATATGTTATTCTTAGGAAGACTAAAAAGAAGCATTGCTGATGCATTCTGGTTTAGTTCCAAGTGCCTGATGATAGAAAGACTAACCAGTAGAAGAAATGTCAAGATGCAACTCCAAACTAGATTGTCAGAAGGTGGGAAGGAAAGGATTAGTTGAGTGTCATCAGCATAGCAGTGGTTGGAGAAGTCATACATTGTCGAGGATACATCGTCAACAGAGATTGTGAAAAGAAAAGAGAATAGGACCTAGCACGGAGCCTTGCGGGACATCAGTAAAGCATCTAGATGGAGCAGATGTCGAGCCTCTAAACGTTACTTGACAAGAGTGCCCCTTTAGTTAAGAACTGAACCACTTCCATGCAGAGCCAGTGATTCCAAGGTTGGCATGAACGGACAAGATCTTGTGGTTGACCATGCAGAGAGGGTCAAGAAGAATCAGGACTGTTTGTTTCTTTTTCTGACAGTCTCTTCCTTTTTCATTCTATCTGTTTTTTTTCTTTCCTGCTCTTCCCTCTCCCCATCTCTCTGCCTTCCCCCCATCTCTCTTGGTCTGTCATTACTGGTGTGTGTATAATTGATCAAAGTGGAAGTGCTCATTGGCCTCAGTGGATGATCAGAGGTCAGGGAGTCACCGTATGATGAATGGTTGGTAGTAAAGGGGCACATTTAAGTGTTCAGAGAGCAGCCAAATAAATCTCCTGGAACACTCACACCAACTGCCAGACACTGGAAACCACACGCTCTGGCAACTGCACACACACTCCAATCACCCTCATTGACACTGCGTGTGTGTGTGTGTCTTGTGGTCAGCAGTTGTCTGGACATGCTTGAGAGTAAGATAACTGGATTTGGCCGATTTATTTATATGTGTTTAGAGATGAGTCAGTCCTGCTGAACCTCGACTGTAGTGACTGGCAGTTTGAAAAGAACAAGAATAAAAAATGTATGAATCTATAATGGATAGGGAGTCAGTCAGTGGTGTAATGGATGGGTGAACATGTTGAGTTGTTAAATAGTGTAATTTACACACAGCCTTAACATCTACTTTATCAGAAACACCCAGATTTGACACCCTATCCGCTCTCCGTTTCACCCACCATATAGATCCACTGAAGGGGTGTACAATTATAGACTGTAGCAGAGATTGTTTTCATGCTTCATTTGCCACTGTATAGAGGTCCACACTATATTTTTTACAAGGTACAACCCCCAAACTGCGTCCCCGACTTTTCTTCCCCATTATTTTATATTACACTGCTGTTAAAGGGTTTAGACTCAGTGTTTTCAATAATATAAATCCTAACCTGGTTTCAGATAAGTGTGTAAAATAAATTTAGTATGCTAGTCCTATGCAACTTCACAGGTTGTAAAAAAAATTGTAGGAAGCTAAGAATGTTAAATTTAGAAATTTTAGACGTGTCGAGAACGATGTTATTCTAAAATGACTGAGGTAGCCACAGAATATCAATAATAAAGTTTTTGTACATTTAATATGCAGAATACCTCATATTTGAAAAGTGGTTTTTAAATCTTAAGGTTGATAACATGACAAGTAATATTGTGAAAAGATAATTGCAATATAGAATTTACTGTATATAATAAATCCAATCTTAGTAATATTGCAAAAAACAACTAAAAATCCCTTTTGCTGTTCAGTTTGTAAGATTTTAATCTATGCCATTTATGTAAAATAGATCAAATATGTATAGAAAATCACAAAATAATTAATATAACAAGTGGTTCCAGACTTCTGAATGGTGGTGTTTAATGCAGGGTTGCCTAAATGGTTTGTGTTGGTTTTTCGTAGGCAGAGGACAAAACAGACCAGTTTACCAATAAAGATGGTAGATACTATTGATATGTGATTGCTAAGGTATCCCAGATGGTTGCTAGGGTGTTGCAAATGGACTTGTATCAACTTGACATAAGGTGGGTTCATAAAAATTTGCATTCCATTCATTCCGATGGAAAGAAAAAATATCATTTAATAATGATAGTACGAAACCATATGTTCATTCAAAAAGCTGTATACAAGCACATCATTCCTGATCAGAACGATAATTTCGGTGGTTGAAAACTGCGGGACGAGTTAGTAGACAATAAAATATGAACCAAGAAGAAAAATAATATGCCATTGGATAAGAGTAGTGTTGCGCATCAATCACTAATCGATTTTTCAGGTTTGCTAACTACACAGAAGCTTCAACAACTAAATGTAATATCAATTTCAGTTTTTCAGTCTGCAGGGATATTTTTCTGTCACACCTCTTCTGTTCTCTTGATTGCATTTTCTGCTTCTCCAGGTGATCACAAACACATTCAGTGATGTTGCAGTTTGGGCGCCTTGCAGTTTGGGCTCCATCCAGTTTGGTGTTCTAGTGCAAATTGTTTATCTCTTTTTTCAGTTCTGGTTTCTTAATAGCATTGAGTTGTCTTCTCACACTGGAAGCACTTATGGATTTTTTCTGAAGCAGATTTGGGCTTGAATTTAATCCTAGTCTCCCAGTAATGAAAGCTTTAGGTACTGTTTGTCTGAGGATAGCAGTTCTGGTGGTCCACCAGGTCTTGCATTGTTGTTAGGAGTCCCATTTCTTTCTATATATTTTAATCTTTCCCCTTTATTATGCAAGTGGGAAAAATTAATAATATAGTTTCTAATAATGTGGCATCTGAGTATATGTGTGATACACAGTTACATCTTGATAAGCATCACCTTTATTTCTTGCCAATTTCTTGATAAGTGGTATTATAGTTGGTTATGTGGCATCGTGCATTATAGGAGGTATTCTGTGCTGGTTATGGATGGAAGGAAGATCGGTGGTGTTTTGATGGCACACGGGTCAGGCAGAACGCTCTGGGTTGGGGAGTTGGGGTGGAGGGTCGTTGAGTGTACCTGCTGGTTGGATAAATGACAATGTGTGGAGTAATGAAGAGCCTGCAGAGAAAAATGCACAAGCTCAGACAGAGCAGAGACAGAAGGGCAGAGTGAGAAAGAGAGAGAGAGGAGGTGAGGAGCTGTCATTGTGACATGTGTTTTCACACACACACACGCTTATCTGCCTGCTCATCAGGCCTCATCTACACACACAAACACACACTCACTACTCTGAAATGTGCAAACATGGCCACATGCAGCTGTAGGCACATACACATGCATTCTAATTGGATCTTGTTTGGTTGTCACAGGTGGAGAACTGGTGCCCTCGACTACCCTGGAGGACCACGAACATTAACGATGACTTGGAAAAAAAGGGACAGGTAGGCTTGTCACAATCATGACGTTTCAGCTGATGATTATTTGCCATATAAATAACAATAAACAATTTAATTATCTTTTTTCGGTCACTGTATGCAGCTATTAAAGCACATGCCAAAAATCTTGCTTCCTAGCTGTCAATACTTATGCTGCATTTGACTGGAATTTCACACATACTACTAGGAGAAAACAAAGAAAAGCAACTAGGAATTCCTACTCAGAAATTGAGGATGGTGTTCTCAACTCCAAACTTATGCAAAGAACCACCTTCTTACTTTCGATTGAGATTTCCTTTAGTTTAGCATATGGAGGTGGATGATGGAAAACCTGTAGAAGTTGATCAAAACAGTGAGTTATACTGCTCCCCAGTCACCCTCAACACCGTTCCATGAACTCTTCTTTCATTATTAAAGCCCTATATAATTACAGTTTTAACTTTTTTATTACTGTCATTATTTCAAATCATGTCTTTAGTTATTTATTTATTTGCTCAGTCTGCTGATACAGATGTTGATCACTACACTATAAAATCTCACACAATCAGAGATCTGTGCATGTATATTGGGTTTGTTCTAAATGCTGCACTGTGTTATATGAGCATGTAGCTTGCATTAAAGCATTTTGTACTGTCAGACACCCATAACACAGTGATTTTTTTTAGCATGCCAGTGCTGTAAAAAAAAGAGCATTGCTCTTTTGCTTGACGATGGATCAAACTCCATTAGACGATCGTCATGACAATGGACCAATGCTCCATTCAGACAGTTTTTTTATTGCAAGTGTACAATGCATAGATGCTGGCTGCTTTTCCTGTACGTCCGTTTTGGTAGGCTTTTTAAAAGGCAGTGAGCAAATGGTATTTCAGTTGAGGTGACTGTATTGGCTAATAATGCTGGTCAGTGTAATCCAAATACATAGATGACTGGCTTGGCCTGTAACTGCAATGATGCCATGTAGCAGACCAGAGTTTTGTAAAATTAGCCTTGTTTTAAGAATGTGAAAACTCGTGAGATTTATATTTATAGCTGTGAAACTGCAGCAAAGACAACACAGGTAAACCATGAAGCTTAAAACAGAGAGTTCACTGTTTTGAGAAAGGCAATGCATCATTAACGTTGGAGTCATCACTCATGTCACTACTGTTAAATGTAGCTGGCTAGCATGTCACTTACAGTACTTACTTTCATTTAATACTTTTACACTTTGTAGCTCGAACATGGGCAGAAATTACACGATTCTGTGAAATACAAATAAGTATATTGTAGAGAAACATACCACCTTAAATTTCTTTACAATTGAAAATCTGAAAGTTTTCTTTGAGGACTGTTTTGCCATACAACACCATATATGCACCTTTCTGCCATAAATATGTTTTAAACATGGTTTATGCCACAATCTTCGTTGTATCACAGTTTTATTATTGATATTTAAGATCAGCTGTTGAGACAATTATTATATAAAAGTATGATAAACAGAAAAGTTTTACATTCTGCAAAGAAAAATAGTCCCATTAAATGGTCTCTGTGCTGGTAATTGCTGCTAGCTTACAAACTACAAGATGAGTAATATTTGAAGAAATTTTAAAAATGTGGTCAAGCTTTCATAGAATGCTTATCAGCCAGTCATGTTTCAAAGTACTGTAGTGAATATAGGCTAAGCAGTTTTGTTTATAGATAAACTATTTAATATGTGTAAATATTTGTGGCGATCTTAGTGTGAGTACTCTCTTGGGAATCATTCCAGACTCCACACATTCCCAAGATAGTGCTGACGATAAGATGAAACCACCAAGGGCCAAAAGATTTCTAATATGTGCTTTTAATAAAAATAATTTGTTAAAAAAAAAAAATTGCATTGTGAAATCTGCTCTGCTCAAAGTATTAGCAAATAAGGCCATACCAGGCCAGAGTGCTGCAGAGATTAGTGTTTACCCTCATCTTACACTCTGAATTCAGTTCATGAAGACCTTGTTAATTAGTTGATGAGCTAAATCAGCTGTGTTTAATGAGGTAGTCTGCAGGGTTTTTGGCCCACAAGGACTGGAGCCTGACACGTGCTCTAGACAGTCAGCATAGACACTGATGTTTGTTTTTTTTGCCTGGTTTTGGTCCAGTCTGATATCCGAACCAGCTTAGATGAGCTGTATCGAGTGATGTCTCGGCGGGAAGAGTTCCGCTGGATGATGTTGAGGATAAAGCGGATGGAGGAGCCGTGGGTCAGCGCCATTCGCTCGCTGTCCACTAAGCAGGACCTGCAGAACCGCAAGCGGAAAAAGGTACTGAATAATCTTGTATTCTCTTGAGATTAAGGCTGTATCTAGCATTTGTGTAATTGATAAATCTATTGACTATTATTTGATTAATCAACTAATCAACTATAATAACTATTATATTTAAGTTGATTACACACCCTTTGCTGAGGATTAAAGTAGAGTGAGAGGGCAGACACTGATATACAGGGTGAGTAAAAATTGAGGAACCAGCTAAATATCTGGAAGATGCTTAATAGTTTGATTAGTGGGTTACATATGTCACAAGTACATAACTTACGTATGTAAAGCGTTTTACAGGTATGTAGATTGTTCCTGGCTTTTGACGTGCCCTGCAGAATATGTGTGCCAACAACAACAACTAATAATTAACACCTTGCTTTGGCCAAGACTGTATAGCCCATATACTGTTACTTGGGTGTTGTTTTTTTGCTTTGCTTAGTTTTGGTAGCTGGTGTAGGCCCAGATATTTAATACCACCAATATATTGTGCACTCATAGTCAGGGCCAGATTAGTGCTCCAGCTTAATGTCCATCTGCTCATCTTTGAGTAGATAGTATGAAGTCAAGCTCAACTCCACAAGTGTTTCTGACAGTCCTTCCACTGTGAGAAGACAACTCAGCAATTTGAGTATGAAAATCTGTAGCTGGGAAGAAGCTGTTACAGATGAAAGTAGACAATAAAGAAGATTTGCAAGTCAAGCAAACAAGCTGCAAAGTGTTCTCATCCCAGTGTCCAGACCTTAACATAGTTGAATGTGTTGGGAATTACTTGGATCTTGAAAAGCAGAAAATGCGCTGAACTTTGGAGGTGTTGAAAAATATCCCTGCAGATTTCTTTGAAACACTGAAAGCGAGTCTCCCGAAAAGAACAGAAGCTGTAATAAAGGCAAAAAGTGGACACATCAAATACTGAAAGTATTAATAATAATAATAATAATAATAATAATACATTATACTTATATAGCGCTTTTCAAGAACTCAAAGACGCTTACAGGTTTTTCGAAATACAGAACAGTAAAGACAAACATGAGAACATGAAGCACAGTCATAACATCACAAGCAAAACATAGCAGGACTTGGCAAAGGGCTGGTTTAGGATTGAGAACAGTTATAAGCAATAGAAAAGAGGTAGGTTTTAAGTTTAGATTTAAAAGTGGAGACAGAGTTGGCCTGTTGAATATGTGAGGGAAGAGAGTTCCAGAGTCGGGGAGCCAGCCTAGAGAAAGCACGATCACCGTACCCATGTAGTTTGGAAGGTGAGACAGTGAGTAAACCAGCAGAGGAAGACCTGAGAGTGCGAGTTGGTTTGTAGGGAATAAGTAGATCAGAGAGGTAAGAAGGAGCAAGGTTATGTAGAGCTTTGTGTGTGAGGAGAAGAATTTTGAATTGTATGTGGTATTTTACAGGAAGCCAGTGGAGATGTTGCAGGATGGGTGTAATATGCTGATGTGCACGGGTGCGGGTGAGAAGGCAAGCAGCAGAGTTCTGTACCATCTGGAGTTTGCATAAATTTTTCTTTTGTCCAAAAACCATGCCAGTTTCAACCATTTTTGGTGGCTGAAATTTTGGTGCGTCCCCAGTGATTACAATACCCAGTACCAGAAATTAGATTATAATCTGGCTATGCCCTTAGAGACATGTGGTTTCTTCTTCATAGTGAAACAAAACAATATAATTTACATTTGAACCATAAATACAGGACAATTTATAAAAACATGGAAAAAGGTGTAAAATTCCAAGGTAAAACAGATGTGCAGTTATTGTTGGCTGATATCAAGAGTTTTTTGTTTTTTTTTTTAGTATTAGTTCATCAGTTGTCAATATATTGCTGCAGACTTACTGTATTAGGTGTGCTAGGTATGTTATTGTGAGAAGAACACGGAAAGCCCATTGTGCTGCGTACCTGCCACCTTTTAATAATGCACGCTGTGTTTCTGCTCTGCTCCAGCTGAATAATTCACACACGCGTCGTGCTGAGAGACACACAAACACACACACACCATCCAGGACACTCTCTCCCTGGAGAGTTTACGCGAGACTCTTCTCTTTCACCTGCAGCCAACAGCCGTGGCAACAGACCAAACACACACACACACACTTTCTCTCCCAGGAAAAACACAAGACATTGCCTAATTTCCTGCCTGAAAAAGTCCCACTTAAAATGTTACCGAAGTGTTGTTTACCAGAATTCTCTGAGATCAGTTCTTAAATGACACATTGTGCTTGTTTGTGTGTGTGTGATTTGTGTGTGTGTGTGTGATGTGTGTGTGATGTGTGTGTGTGTGTGTGTGTGTGTGTGTGCGCACAGTACTGTGCAGTTTGTTCTTTTTTTAAGGGGATATTCAAGGATCTAGAGAAAATGGCTCCCCTGGCATTCATGCAAGACCTAGTAGACCCCTAAAACTGTTACTAGGGCTGTCTCAGTGATGAAACTTTAGCTGACGATTGTCATATAAATAATTTTGCTTAACAGTTTGTCTTTTCTTGTTCAGTGTAGGTAACTATTAAAATACAGGCCTCAAGTGGCCTAAAGTGGCTATATTTACATACTAATGATACACTACACTGTTGTGTGCACTTACTCATACACAAATATCTGCAGTTACTCAGAATTGTTTTCCTCAAAAGAGAAAATATAAGAAAATAAAACACTCAGCTAGCAGACATGCTTAAAACCGATACAGTTGGCTACGTAGCTATCAAATAAACAAACAATATTTGTGCTGCATGCTAGAAGTTAGAATATTTTTGTTTATGTAAGCCCCATAACATCTCAAGGAATGCATTTACTGCTCTCTTTTGTTTACATTTATTTACCTCAACCCAACAAACCCAATTCACATTCTGGTCATGATATGTATATAATATGACTGTGAAATCATACAACTGTGGAAAATGATTGCAGTCAGCTTAAAAATTGCACCAATCTCAAATAATTGCAGTAAAGCAATTATGTAATAGTTGTGACAGTCCTGAACCTTTGAATAAACAGTAAATCCTCCTTTTATCTTTGAGTAGATAGTATGAAGTCAAGCTCAACTCAGATCTGAAAAAATCCACAGGTGTTTCTGTCAATCCTTCAACTGTGAGAAGACATCTCAGCAATTTGAGTATGAAAATCAGTAGCTGGGAAGAAGCTGTTACAGATGAAAGTAGACAATAAAGAAGATTTGCAAGTCAAGCAAACAAGCTGCAAAGTGTTCTCATCCCAGTGTCCAGACCTTAACATAGTTGAATGTGTTGGGAATTACTTGGATCTTGAGAAGCAGAAAGTGCACTGAACTTTGGAGGTGTTGAAAAATATCCCTGCATATTTCTTTGAAACAAGGAAAGCGAGTCTCCCGAAAAGAACAGAAGCTGTAATAAAGGCAAAAAGTGGACACATCAAATACTGAAAGTATTAATAATAATAATAATAATAATAATAATAATAATAATACATTATACTTATATAGCGCTTTTCAAGAACTCAAAGACGCTTACAGGTTTTTCGAAATACAGAACAGTAAAGACAAACATGAGAACATGAAGCACAGTCATAACATCACAAGCAAAACATAGCAGGACTTGGCAAAGGGCTGGTTTAGGTTTGACAGAGTTGGCCTGTTGAATATGTGAGGGAAGAGAGTTCCAGAGTCGGGGAGCCAGCCTAGAGAAAGCACGATCACCGTACCCATGTAGTTTGGAAGGTGGGACAGTGAGTAAACCAGCAGAGGAAGACCTGAGAGTGTGAGTTGGTTTGTAGGGAATAAGTAGATCAGAGACGTAAGAAGGAGCAAGGTTATGTAGAGCTTTGTGTGTGAGGAGAAGAATTTTGAATTGTATGTGGTATTTTACAGGAAGCCAGTGGAGATGTTGCAGGATGGGTGTAATATGCTGATGTGCACGGGTGCGGGTGAGAAGGCGAGCAGCAGAGTTCTGTACCATCTGGAGTTTGCATAAAAGGGAGGTGTTAATACCAGCAAGTAGAGAGTTACAATAGTCCAGGCGACTAGAAATGAATGTATGAATAAGGGTTTCTGCAGCAGACAGAGAGGATCGAATTTTTGCAATGTTACGGAGATGGAAAAAAGAAGTTTTAACTACAGAGTTGATGTGTGCACTGAATGAGAGAGCTGAGTCAAAGAGAACGCCCAGATTTCGCACCAGAGGGGAAGGGGACAGAGTTCCATTGTCGATGGAAAGAGAGAAAGGAGAAGTTTTAGAGAGAGTTGATTTGGATCCTATTAGAATAAGTTCTGTTTTGTCACTAACATGAGAAAGTTGTGCTTCATCCATGTTTTAATTTCTGTTATGCAGTTTTCAAGCTGGGTGAGGGGTGGATTTTTTAATAGATTGAGTGCTAATGTAAATCTGTATTAGTAGTGTATGTATGCGCACAAGATCAAGAAACACAAAACAGTGAACAGTGAAAGCATTTCCAAGACCATAACTATTGACCATTTCCATGGTCAGTCCAAACCACAGATTCACCATAGAGCATTACAATAGCTTTGTAACCCAGTGTGTCCATGGAGATGATTGCCATAACATGAATGTAACACCCTGACCCTGACGAGCTCTTTGTTCTCTCCTTTTAAGCCCCTCACAATGGACACCTGATATTAATCCAATACCCACAGCTATTAGCTGAAAACGATACATGCACTAGCTTAGACAAACCTAGTGCAGTCTACTTATCATATACAGTATCTTATGGGAAAGGTCAAGGTTGTTGGAGATACCAGTGAAATAAAAATTGCTACAGTGCATTGGCCGTCACTGTACATAAAGACAACCCAAATATGAGGCTTTACGACTTGCAGTTATCGTCTATAAAATTTCAGAGTAGATTAATAGGACAGGTAATAAAGGATGTCTTTCCACAAGCTGCCTTCTGAAAATACAGCTACATATACACACATTTATTATGTTTTATAAGTAGCGGTCAAAAGTTTGGACTCCTAGAAAGACACTCATTTTTTCAAGACAGTTTCAAGAATATGAGCATAAGCTCTTAAATCAAAATGTCAAAAGTTTTATTCAGTCAGGTGTGTCCAAATTTTTCACTGGTTCTGTAGGATAATGCTGGAATCTGTGAAGTAAGTTCATGGGGTAAAGTTTCAAAGTCAAACTTGCTTGAAAGGCATTTTGTTTAGACCTTTTCTTATAAACCACAATAAGATGCCTTCATTTTGATTTCATACTTTTTCCCCTTGCCATGTTTCAGTTTGCTTCACCAAACAAAATACTGTAGTTCCGGTGTAAGCTGTAACAAAATGAAGGCAGCAATAAATGGAATTTTTAAATCCAGATGAATGGACATTAGGCTACATTTCTGGGAGAAACACTTTCTTCTTTTTTTGTATGTTTTTTTTCTTCCACTTTTTAGTGTGTTCACTCTTTATTACAGCTTCCATTCTTTTCATGAGACTTGCTTTGAGTGCTTAGAAGAAATGTACAGTGATATTTTTTCACACTTCCAAACTTACGTCTTAGAAGTTGGTTGCATTTTCTGCCTCTCACGAATCAAATAATCCGAAACACATTCAGTGATGTTGAGGTCTGTCCAGTTTTGGTGTTCTAGTGCAAATTTTCTATTTTTTCTTCTCAGTAACAACTTCTTGCTACACACCCTTTCAGACCCGCAGCATTGAGTTGTCATGGTTATAAGGAGTTCCATTTATTTGCACGTTTTAATCTTTTTTTGAACTCCAGCCTACACTTTCCCCTTCCTTGTGCAAGGTGGACTGTCATCTGTTGAATCTCCTCTGAAATATCTCCTGAAAAATTAAAGTTGTACTTTTCTTTTTAAATGGAAATTAAATAAATGGTACTCTGTGACTTCTGTACAGTAATTATGTAAATGTATGTATATTTGAACTTGTTCTCTAGATCCTGGTTCATCTGGGGCTGCTAACGAAGGAGTCTGGCTTTAAGATAGCAGAGAATGCATTCAGCGGGGGTCCACTGGGGGAGCTGGTGCAGTGGAGTGACCTCATCACCACCCTGTACCTGCTGGGTCACGACATCCGCATCTCAGCCTCCATTGCTGAGCTAAAAGAGTGAGTATACACACACACACACACACACACACACACACACACATACACACTCCTCACCATACAAATACATTTACTGGGACATGGTAGCTTTGCTTTAGTCACTGGGCTTAAAGAGTGAATAGAACACATGTACACACTCATAAAGACCTTATACCTACTGCAACACGATGTTTACATTTCAGCTTCAGTGACTGAACTGAAAGACTCAGTGTACACACAGATAAAGGCAGATTATTGGCTGCAATGTTGACAAAAAGCCTCTCTTATAAATGACAATGTGATGCAATATTAATGTACGTTTAATCCAGCTCTATTAAGCTGGAAATGTTTTTTCATAAACCTTTATGTCTGTTTTTTTCTGTCCTCTATCTGTTCTCTCCATTTTCTGTTTTCTCTCCCTCACTGTTTTTTTGTACTTGTATTCCTCACTCTCACCCCTGTCCTCTTTCTGCAGAATCATGCGGAAAGTGATGGGGAATAAGTCCAGCTGTCCCACGCAGGGTGATAAAGTGGTGGAGCTCATCTACATAGACATTGTGGGCCTGTCTCAGTTTAAGAAGACTCTCGGGCCCTCCTGGGTGCATTACCAGTAAGTAAAAATCACTTACAGCTGAGCCAAGGGATATAAAGGAGGAGGAGATGGGTAGACTGGTCGAAAAACAAAACCAGCTCAACATGGCATATGTTTACAGGGAAAGTCCCACGCTTCAATAAAAAGAGCCAACGGGATTACAAACTCTTAAAACTACTTTCACCAGATTTTACCAGTAATTTCAAAAATCTGAAATGTTAATGTGGCTTTCAGCTTAGCATTTATTGTTCTCTCCCCATAAGAGCCTGATCTTGTATGGCTGGAAGTGACTGCCCAGAGCTGTTGCCAAGATTACTGCAGAGTGAATAGACTTACCTAAAGGATGCACAGGTCATCCCGCCTGAGTTAGTCTCCATGGAAAGATAACTCCCGGCACATACATTGACAAAGAAACATCTGTACACAAAAAGAATGAATTCCCCCGGGACTCATCAACCCTATGTACACTTGGTATTAACATCACCTTGGTGCAGTCATGGTGATTGGATCACCATTCTTGGTTAAATTACATGTTTTGTTGATTTTATTCGGAGATAATTACTTTATATTTTATAAAAAACACATCCTCTGCAAAGAACACACACACATATATATATATATATATACACACGTGTGTGTGTGCCAAAGTTTGTCCCAAACATTATGGAGAGCACTGCAGATGTTAAATGTCTTTCTTTTCTATTTTTCAGTTTTTGTGGTGGTAAGTGTGCAAGTAACTATGTGCTTGTATCCTTTGAAAATTGTTGACCAGTAAACAAACATCCACATGTAATTTGGTGCACTTTAGCTGTCACAGTATAAAAGCAAGCAAAATGAAACAAAAAAACATTGTCGCAAGTGCAGTGACTTCAGCTAACAATCTAGGTGCAAACACAGCCATAGATGCTGGTTTCGGTGTACATGCCCTTGACCGTCGCGTTCAGTTTTAGAAAACCTCAGTGGTGGGACTGCCACTTTGTTGTTGTGAAATCCCCGAACAATGCTTTAAGCCTCTAAAGCAGCAGTATGAGAGAAGCACTGAGCTGCTCCCATGCTTTCACTGGGAACAGGTGGGATTAGACTGCAGATGTGCTGGTGTGCTGGAGGGAAAAAGATGTGTGTGTGTGTATTTGTCATTGGTTTGACCTAGTGTCAGTGCTTTCTCTGGTTTTGTGGCAGCTACTAAAGAGAATCAGCGTTGACTGAACAAAGCCTACTGAAATTAGCCTACATTTGAGTCTCTTTTGCTGACTTTCTCTTCTCAGATCAGCCTCTCTTATTCTTTTCCCTTTTCTGTTTTTCTTCTTGTGTCTTTCTTATTTCACTTTCTGTTGTTCTCTGCTTTTTCCACCTTTTTTCTGCTATTTTCATTTTTAAAGTCATCATTTGTCAACATGTATTTTCCTTCTGCACTGTGTCATCTCTGAGCTAGCTGAGCCTTTTCTCATGATGTTAGTTGGGACATATTTGATAATATTGTTTCTTCACACCCTCTGGTGCAAAATCAAAAATCAGAAGATGTTCAGAAGATGTCTTCGTTTTTATGAAAGATTACTTAAAGCTGCTCTACGTACATTTTGGGAATTTGGAGGCCTCTTTGGTGGAGATGTGTAATTGCAAGCAGTGTGCGTAAGAATATTTTGTAAGGTCGGCTCTGCTTGAGACCCTTTTTCTGAACAGATAAATCTGATGTTTGTGAGCATGTTGAAAGAGTAATCAAAGAGAATGCAGTCAGTAACTTGGAGAACAACATGTCTTCTGAAGACATAAGTGAATTATCTACCATTGTCATCATATCTTTACCTAAACATCGAGCCAGACCTTCTTTTTGAGCCTGTGTGTGACTTTAATACAAGATATATGACATGGTCCGGAAAACTCCCACAAAATCCAACCCATCGTAGTGGCCTTTTAACTTACTATTTTTACTGACTCAGTAATGCTGCTTCTTTAAATTTTAACATAAAATCTTACATATTGCAATTTTAATATGACCCAGGAACATGATCTAACAAGGTAAAAAAAGGTCCGTTTAATTTCAGATCACCTACTTCAGAGTAGCATGTTTCAGTTTTGAAAGCAAAGTGACCTGAGTTTCCAAGTGCAGCAGTACTTTATCACCACATTAACCACAGGGTTCTTAGAAACTTGCTTCATTCTGCTCAGGAACACAACATAAAACCACCAAGACAAATACAAGGAAGTTTGTAGGTATGCAGTTAGCTGGCTGTCTAACTAATATTAGATAAATAGCTCCTGTGTTTTTTTTTTTTTTTTTTTACAACTATTTCACCATGCTTTGTTCTTTTAGAACATCAAGCACAGTAGCTCTTCATTAAACCTTTAATTGGTTTAATATGTTATTTGCCATGTTATGCAGTATTCTGTAGCTCAGCATTGCATCCCTCATCCTCTTTGATTCAACATAGTTCTAGATTTTATACCGTTTTCATTCATTCCATACTGTTTTCATTCATTCAGTGTTCATTTAATGTCACTACAACACCCAGCATGCATTACTGAAATACACCATACATCATACAACCATTGGGTGTCTGTGTGGTGTCAACCAGTGCTAGCCTAACCACTTTCCAGGTGTAGGTATTCCTGGATTTAGGTGTAGGTATGGGCTAATGAATACAACCAGGCTAGCATTAGTGTAACGCTTACCTCAGTCATCAAACAAAATTCTAAAGTAAACGTTGACTCTGTTTATTCAGCACAAAACGGAAACAATCAGAAACAAACTTATTACCCTTTCAGCCAGAAAGAAAACTGAAGATCTATAGATTGACAAGTAGCTACCTTGCCAGTGACTTATTCTGTCATTTAAGTAATCCATCCTCTCCAGTCTAATGGTAATTTGAAGAGAACTACTACAGTTATGCTGCTGTAATAAAAAAAAATCAGCTGCTTAGCTGTAGTGTTATGTGCCTTCCTTGTGTATCAACAAACTGACAAAAAAAAAGACATTTTACAACAAAAATCGACCCTGCAGCAATTGTAGGTTCCTCCCACCTTCAAGATACATCGAAAGGGAGTTTTCCTAGTCTTTAAACTGGAAAGTCTCACTCTAGAGACTACTACAGCACCGCTGTAGGATGCAGGTAAGAATGTTTACAGCAGATGTAGCAATGGTTACATTTGTCCTGTTGACCAGTGTCCCTTTAACCTGTTGCTTACTTATGTTTAGAACAGCCTTGAACATTGGACATGAGGATCTATAGCTAGTTGGATACTAGCCAAAATCTGTCAGTCTCATGTTTTTGTCTTTTAGTAGCAATTTCAAGTTTTAACAAAATACTCAACTCAGGAAGGTTTTCTGATTGTAACTGGTATTTTTAGTGACCTGCTGCTGCTGCATTTAGTGCCCTGCATGCTGCATGACTTTATTCTCCGCAGCAATCCACAGTCTACAGTCTTATCAGTGAACTGCTACTGTCGATCACTCTGCATTGACCTTTGTAGTTCGTGCTATCTGAAATCAGCCTCTGAAGCCACAGTAAGTCTTCAGCAGAATAGAAAAACCATGCTGTTTTATAAGCCTCTAGCTCATGTACTAACATTAAGATTTAACAGTCCCCTGATATGTTCGATTTTAAGCCCTTTTGGACGAGTTTACAGCCTGTGTGGTGTTGAGCATGAAATATGAAGTAATATCCTTAAAACCAGGCTTAATCTGACAAGGACAAATTTATTATTCTCTCTAGATACCAGTATTCCAGCAACTCCATGTGTGCAGCCAAGCTGTGTTTTCTTCAACCCAACAATCTTTCCCACATGTGCATACACCATGTCATCTGCTGTGTAGCTTTATAGAGCTTCCTTATGCAGCACACATATTCACATATGTGCACACACTTTCACTACATGCTTTGTTTGTTTGTACGTTCTGGAGTCATTTCCATCGTTGTTCTTCCTGATCAATAAAAATACATCCAAACATTCTACAGTCATTATGTAACCATGGAACATTTGACTGCTGCGTAGAAGGGAGAAGACTTCCCACTGAATGAGAGGAGACTTAATGTGTTTTTATATTGTTTTCATTATTTATGTGTTTGTGCTAGGGTTGGGCAGTATAACAGTGATAATGTGTACCGCAGTGTTTAAAGATTATGTCTGTATTTAAAAATGATGACGGTATTTCCAGATTATGACGGGTCCACTCGTTTATGCTTTAGAGGGGCTCACTGATTGGTGGTGTGGGATCTCACCACAAAGTAGGTCAGAAAAATTAAGCATGATAGCAGCAATGGCTAAGAGCTCCACTCACCACAGAACATGTTCAGCTCTCTGATATCCTCTAAACAGGTGTTGTTTCAGCATCGGTTAGCTGGAACCAAATCTGTGCTGTGCTGTGTGGCACGTTTGGCCTGCTAAGTAAGCATTCATTTGCTAACCAAAATGCTACAGTCCCAAACAAACCAAGACACATTTTATTTCGGTTTTCTGTCACTCCAGCACCAGTCACTTGACTTTTGCTCTCACAAACATTAGTTTTTATCATCTGAACTTGTCAGTTGAGCAGTAGTTAGTCAGAATCAAACCTGTGCTGTGGTGTGTGGCACTGTTTCAGTCTGTAGCCTGTTCACTAAGCTAACATCAAGTTAGCTATAGAACATCAGATTCAGACACCACAAAAAAAGTATAAATTTGCCTTCCTTTCCCTTCAGTTCCAGTTGACTTAACTTCCTCAAATTGGAGTCATCATCTAAACTTGTGTCAGTGCCTTAGTTAACTAGAATCAACCATGCTCTGTGGTGAGCAGAGCTATTATGCTAGCTAAGCTAATGCTAACCAGCTTCTCTCTACTTGTTTGCAGCACTGTTTACCATTTAGCAATTGTTAGATAGATGGTTTGACATTTGATGACTTGAAAATTGTATACCTATTTGTTGACCGTGTAAACGCATTATTCATTTTGATTCTTTTTTGATTTTGAAAATAACACAGGATGAGGTCACAAAAGCTCTATATATTTTTTTCTTTTTGTGAAGTATGGGATGGAATGATCTGGAGAACATTATTTACTTAAATTAAATACCCGTAAGTGTTGGTTGTTGGCAGACTTATTGTAAAACATCTTTAAAATTAAAATATAGAACATTCACTGCTTGCTTCCATAGTTTTGGATGGGGATGCATCAGTGTGGGAACTGTGGAACAATGTCGTTGTCAGATATTTCTTGTGCATATATCTGCCGATGCCAATATTGATGTGTTATATAAACATTTATAATAATGGGAATTTTAGGCCAGTGCTGATACCAGATATTTTTCATGTACATTTCTGCCAATTGTGATACTGGTGCATAAACATTTATAAAATGGGAATTTTGGGCCAGTGCCAACATCAGATATTTTTCATATACTCATCTGCTGATACTGATGCATGTGCATAAGTATTTATATAATGGAAATTTTAGACCTTGCCAAAATCAAATATTTTTCATGTAAATAACTACTGGTGCCTGTACATTAATGTTTGTAAAATGGGATTTTTTTTTACCCATATCAGATATTTTTCCATGTGCATATCTGCCAGTGCTGACACATAAACAACTATAAAATGGGAATTTTAGGAAGATGCTGATATCAGATAATTTCCATGCGCATATCTGTCTATGCCAGTACATAAACTTTCATAAAATAGGAATTTTGGGGTGTTGCCAATAGCAGATATGTTTCATGGACATATCTGCTAATACCAGTGCCAGTACATAAACATTATAAAATGGGAACTGTGGGCCGACAGTGATATCAGATTTTTATTTTTTTTTCCAAATACATATCTGCTGGTACTGATGCTGGTACATAAACATTTATGAAGTAGGAACTGTGGGCTGATCCTAATATCGTGAATTATGTACGTCTGCTGATGTTGGTAGTAAATTGGGATTAGATCCACCTGGATAGCATTACAGAGAAATGCAAAAATAGTTTCTATTGGGTTTCAAATGCAGTAAAAAGAACAGAATGCAGATATTTTAATACATCACCTAAACATTCTGCTCTTCCAGAGTACAAAAAATCATCATATCTGTCTAATATCGATGTGATTCTTATGTCATCATGTGTGACTGTAGTACATGTTTAAAGCTCTTATATTGAGTGTATTTCTAAAGTAACTGTTTGTTCTTGTTTCAGGTGTATGCTCCGAGTACTAGACTCATTTGGGACAGAGCCGGAGTTTAACCACGCCCAGTACGCCCAGTCTAAAGGCCACAAGACTCCGTGGGGCAAATGGAACCTGAACCCCCAGCAGTTCAACACCATGTTCCGTAAGTGTGTCAGTGTATGCGCATGCGTTCGCATGCTTGAACCTTATGCCTTAGCCTTTGGCCTGTGAAACGTTAGCTCTGGGTTGTATTTAAGGTCAGATGAGGGAGTGGTGGGCTCAGGTAGTGTTTAGAATGAAAAGCTCTTTTGTTTAGAGATGGTCCATGATGTTCTTATAAGCCAGGGGATTTTCCAGTCAGGGCCACTTCGAAAGGGGTTTGAGACTTAGCTTACTGTGGGAGAACAGTGATGGCTTTCATTCAGGTGTAGTACCAAATACATCTGTGTATGTGTGTGTTTGTCTGTGTGTGTGAGGGGTGGGTGGGTCTGTTTGCCTCATTTGTATGTTTGTGTGTATTTGTGTCAGTATGTATATACACAATAGCTATTCAGTATTCAGGTCCATGTCTTTATGAAAATCTATCTTTTAAGGGGGACTCATTATCCCATAATAATGCTTATATAAGTATATGTTGAATAACATGTAAACTAAGTAGGTAGTGCTGTTTGTGCATAGTGTTGGATATCCTGCCCGTTTATCTCACTCATTTAGCTCAGGTCTAAGTAGAGGAAGGTTGGGGAGGCAGGGCAATAACAAGCAATGGTCAGGTGGCTCACAGCTCAAAGGCATAGAAAATAAACAGCATGAAGATAAAAATGACAAAATACAGGTAAAACTACATGTTAGAATACTGCCACTGAAAAATTGGTGTTCTCTTTAACATTTGGCCCCATTCTCCCATTTACCAGTAGTTGACTGCTTTGCTTTGTTTAAGCCTGGCCTAAAAGAAAAATAAGAATTTTGTTGCTATTTTTTTTTTTTTGACTAATTCAGTATGAAATCTTGTCACATTAACTTACATTGAAAGTTCAAAATATTTTTTTTCCTCCTCCTGTAAATTTTTGGAGCTTTGTTCTGACATCAACAATATGTAGTGTGATTTGTTTCCTCTAGCAAAAGGCAGTGTTCTTCACGATTGATACCAAACAAATGCCCTGAGAAGCACTGGAGATATTTCGTCAGCAGCTTGCTCTGATTTATCCATGAGCCGCTTATGATCCAAGATCCCAAGCCTAACTTGCCCCTAAGCTCTTTAGGCGAGTAGCGTAAGTTGTCATGGCGATGCATGTAAAAAGTGATTCGCCATCAGGAGAACAATGAAGTAAGCTTAAAATTAGCTGGCTAAGCAAGAAATACTGCTTCAAGACAGGCCTGTGACATTACAAGTTGGATCTGGATTGGGTTTGTCCGATAAGTGTTTGAGTGACCACTTTTCCTTAAAGGAACAGTTTAATTAAAAAGCCCATTTGCACAGTTTCCAGCTTAGCCCAGATGCAGACAATCAGCCAAGACATGTTTGGTATTTGGTAGTGTAGCTAACAAGTAATCGAAGCTTATGCACATCACTCAGTATTGTGGAAATGACTTCCTTAAATCATCACACTCCTGTCTCAAACGGCTTTGAGTTGTTAAGTCTTAAGCCTAAAGTCACCATGTCCAGTGCCAAGTGTAGGCTAGAGGGGTATGAAGACCCCCAGCACTGAGCTGTGGAGCAGTGAAACTTGAGAGTGATGGAGCAGCAAACAAAACCTTTGGGATGAGATGGATTGGTGTTTGTGATCCAGAATTAATTACATCAGTACCTGATCTCACTAATGCTCCCACTGCTGAGTGCAACCAAAACCTCACAGCACAATATGGCGAACGCTTATGTCTGGTTAATCTGAATGCAAAGTTAGTATTACAAAAACAAAGGCGCATCCCCAGCACACATACACACTCCAGTCTGTGTAAGATCAGTTACCTGCTAGAATGAAGAAATGCCCCTTTTATTGTACTCAAAAACATAACATGTAGTTCTTAAACCTGCTTATGTTGAAGCGTATTTTAGAAACACATGCACGCTCAAGAAAACAGGAAGAGTATTAGATTGATGTTTCAGATAAAACTTCTTTCAAATCATCTTCCTTTCCATTGTGGTACATGAAGCCAAGAGCTTTTACCTGCATGCAATAAAAAAAAGGTACAGTTTGGACGCCCCTAGTCAAATGAGACGTTTTGTTGATTTTCAAAAAATAAGTTAACACATCCTCTACATTTTAATGCACAAATGCTGTTTATTAGCAGAGTTCAACATTTTATTTGATTTTGTTTGATATGTTAAACCCAGCAATAAATAAAGATTTTGCCCTAAAATTTGGAGAGAAATTATGCATTGAAATGTGTTCTCTGTAGAGGATATGCTAACCTGTATTCACATAAATAAACAAAACTTCATTTGACTTGGTGTTCTTACACTTTTGCATGCAGTTGTATATCATGCATTCCACCATACATTGGCAGCCATGGATGGTAGCTAACTTCAGTTTCACTAGCTTACCACTGGGGCAGCATTAGGCAACATTAAGTCAGTCACCCCATGTTACTGTTTATCTGATAATGCATATCCAGAAAACCTGAAATGTTCCTGAAGTTAGTGCTGACAGAATGGAGTATTCCCTTCATGATGTGCTTTCCTCTTTTATTGCTCAGCGCTTGGGGATGTGCACCGGTACTCTATTACAAGGTGCCAGTATTCAGGTATTTGTTACATTTTGTCACAGGAAGACTGAGCAGCTATACAGACAAACAGTGAAACCTGAAGGTTTTGCTCATGTTTGAAAGTAAGTATAACAGAACTTTAGTGCGTCGCCAATGCAAGTCTTCATACTCCCAGATTGGTAGCGTAGTGTGATTGGGGTGCTATCTAGCGGGTGGAGTTGACACTAAACTGGGGTGAAAATTGTGTAAAAATCTCCTCAAAGTCCAGCGTCCTCAACAACAGAGAGCATTTGATCATCTAAAGCAAATACTTCCATTATTTTGTACTTATACTTTGTACTTTGACACTGTCGTTTGTGTATTTTTCATGGTTATACTACATGGCTGTAGTATAACCATGCAAAAGAGTGTAGCTGATCCATTTTTCAGTGGTGTAGTCAGTTTCTCATGTATTTTTATTAATGAACCTATCTATAGTTCTGTAGACCTGTCCTATTTAGCAGTTTCCCCTGAAGATAGCTAGCTAACTTTGAAAGCAGAAAGAATAAAAACAAACTGGACTTTGAAACATATCCCCCTGTGCTCAGTGTAAAAACTGCGCTTGGGCAAAAGCACCATCCTAATTGCTGCCTTCATGAGTTTTGTAATTCTGCCCAAAACAGAAATTATAAACTGGACTGGAACAGAAATCAGTCTTATAGAACTCTTTATAACAGCGAAAACACACAAAATTATCCTAAATGTCACAAAACTTTAGAAATCAACTTTTCCACCCACCCCTTCTAACATGACCTGATCTATTATCTCAGTTAAAGGCAAGGAGTCAGACTGTGCCCTCGTTAACCACAAACCCATTAGCAACATTCCTCTCTGCAGCCTTCCCCTTTAATTGCTTTCGTCTGATCCTAATTGATCTTAATCAGCTGTTTATGAGGCTGAATTATTAATCGCTCATGGGGAGTCACCATCTGCCCAAACAGAAAATGAACACAATGTTGAACAGCAAGGTAGCCCCACTTTTACTTGTTTATTTATTTATTCTCTCCTTAATTTGGGGTAAATAACAGAAACAGCAGTGCTCAGCATTAAAAAGAACACATTTGCATTTTAACAAGAGCCTTTCCTTTTAGTACTTGTAACATTGTTGTAGCTTAACAAGCAATACAGCAAACTTAGTTTAGTCAAATAGAACTGTTGCGTTTAATTATCTGTGATTTGTCTTATATTTCCAGTGTTTATTAATGTACATATTTTATTTACTAAAAGATTGGGGACATTTCATTTTTCAAAAAGTTCTTTAAAAAAAAAAAAAGAGCATGTGTCCTTGGTCAGTTTGCAATAATGTATTAAAGCCCCTCTCTACTCCTTTTCATGATTTCTTCTATTATCTATAGTTTTTGTGATGTTTTTACTATGAACTGGCAGAGGAAGATTGCTGTTGGTCTTTTCTGTTGAGAGATTTTAAATAATGTTTTCTGCTATTTTCTTCAAATCGATTTGACTTGGGTGGGGCTAAATTTGGTGCAGGTGATGTCAGATCTACCAAAGTTAACAATATGTATACATCAGCTACTCGCATTCCGCTCCCTCACATGAAGTGACCACTCTCCTGCAGCTCTGAGTCTCAGACAAAATTCTAAATTTGTTAACAGTGCTTGGCATGAGGGTTTGTTACACCGATGTTTGTAGCGTAGGTAGATGCTGCACCCTACTTGTGCCACCTGTTGCAGGAATCTACTATAACTTCATTTACCAGAGCTTGATAGCTAGTGGTCCACTTTAGGAATAAAATTATATGTTAGCCACTCCCCGTAACATCAAAGCTTACAGTGTTTCCTTGCAATTGAACTTTACAGGCATGGTGCACAATAAGAAACAATAAGATATGACCGTATTAAGGTCATGTGACCTTCAAATATTGGACACGATATGTCAGCCTATCATAAGATGAAAACCTTGGACATTAACTGTATCTCTAAAAAATCTCTAGACAGCTTGTTACCCGTTTACTATTCAGAGACCCCTCGAAAAGAGCAAAGTGGTGTGTTTTTCTGCAGGGGGCTCTTGTTCTTCAAAATCAACCATGTAGGGCTGAACCAAGCCGGTTCTAACAGCTGTGTGTGCCATCTCTAGCATTATTGGTGGTGTCACTCAATACTGCCAGTGGCACCAGGTTGTTTAAGTTGCCTGGGAGATGCCACTGTCAGTTATGTGATCTGACACACCCACACAGTTGTGAACAGGCAGCATCTCTGAATTTTCAATATTTGGTTTTAGTAATAGTTTAGTAAACAAAACCCTCGAATTATTATTTTGACAAAACCTACCTTTCCATCTAATGAGGACATTTTGGTGAACTTGAAGTTGAACGTTTCAAAATACTGACAAATATTTAGCAGATAGCTGTTTTTTTTTTTTCCATAGATTTTGCCTAATTCAATTGTTGAGATGTGTGGTTTGATGTTAAAAGGTGTATTGTAGAGAAACTTACCTGCCCAGATTTTTTTTAATGTTAACAAAACTTTTGCAGATTTTTGTTTGCTACTAAATTGAGAGGTAGCAGTGAACAGCAAGCGTTTCTCAGAAATGCTCAAAAGAAGGCAAGGTGAAGCCTTTATTTAGTAAAGCTAAATGACATTCTTCATTACCTTTCCTCCATCTCACCCCTACATTCATTAAAGTAGAGGAAATTAAAGGATGACTTCATTTGTCCTCCCTCACATTCTCTCTCTCTCTCTCTTTCTCTCTGTAAATTCTCTGTCTCTCTCTCTCCCACGTCTCCTCCTCCAGTCTCTGCTAATTAGTAGCACTTCACTCCTACAGTGTAAACATCAGCTTCCCGACACCAGTTACATGTCTTCGTTGTTTGTGTTTATTTGACTTTACAGAGGGAGCAGTGTGCAGACTGCAGGGAGAACGAGCAGTTCAGCTTGAGAGAGAGCTTTAGAACTACTGTCTCAAAAATAAATACTTTTCAACATTAAAATGTGCCAAACAATTCAATTCTCTGTCTTTCATAGGTTAAATAGGTTAACACTCAGTGATGTATTCAGCCTGTAGGCGAATCAGGTTGTGCATGTTCATTTGAATAACATAGATGGGAAAAGACTTTTTCTTTTCATTTTCATTTTAATGTTTACAGTGGAAGGTCCCAGGACATGTTATTAAGCATAAACAAACTATAGGGATGTACAACTGTTGGAGCAATGTACACATGTTACCAAGATTACACTATTGTTACGTGAGCAGCTAACTGTTAAACGTAAAGTGGAGAGGGTGTACTTCGGTAAACAATGGATATAACACAACACGTTATAATGTCATATAACAAAACAGCATTGCATGTATTTACCTACATGAGTACACATAGGTAAAAAAATGCACTCATACATAAACACTCATGAGGAAGTGCCAGTATAAAATGAATATAAATGCATGTAAATAAATAAGTAAAAGAAAGGGGAGAAATATAAAACCTGTTACATTTATGCCTTTGGCAGAACAAACTAATAATACTATTTATTTTTCTAAAATACTTATCTCTCTAAAGTAATTTATAAATTGTCCCCAGGCTTTTTAGAAAAAAAACAGGCTTCTGTCTAACTTCAACATTTATTTTTTCTAGCTTAAAGGCATGCTGAACATCCCAAACTCACTGGCGATATGATGGTGGAGTTGCTGACTTCCAATTCCAGTCTAGCCAAAAATGTAATGAGTTCTGTAGTGGTAGTCCGTAGAGTGGTCAGCCTAGTATTTTCTGGGAAAACACCAAGTAAGGGTAGAAATGCACCTTTCTAGCATGTTTAAAATATCCAGGTTAAATATGTGACCTTATACAGATTAAACAAGAGGTTTAACCCATTATATGTTTGTTTTAAACAGACTGTTGAATTTTATGATGTGTTGTATTTCTATAGAATTTATTTACATTCAAGACATTCAATGCATACAATGACGATCATAATTTTCTGAATCAATCTGCAAGTATAGTGGGGCCTAAATTTTGCAAGTAGAGTCTGCATATTACAGCTATGAATCCTGACTTTTCAACATTAATGTTGCATTTACCAATCACAGTTTACTGATGAACAGCTTTCATACATCCTTTAAGTATCACTTTTTACATAGCAAAGCCACATGATACAACTTGTTTAGCATTAAAGGCACTTCAGTTAGACAGACAGTGACGACTGTGCAATAGCTATGTTTTGTTAAACTAGTAGGGCAGCTATTTTGATATCCGATTATTGATTTGGATTAATCGCCTAATAACGATTAATCAGCTTAAATATGGCCTGTAATAAACTGAAGAGCTAAAACAATAAAATGTTTAAGAATGTTCTGACAAACTGAGGTGCTGTTCACCAAGAGCCAAATTACCACCTGGCCCTTTGTTTAAGCTGCCTATAATTTTTCATTCAGTAAGTATCAAGCAATAGCTTAAAATTAATGATATAATAATAAAAGTGTAGATTAGCTTTATAGCTGTTCAGGTTGCTCTATTATTTAACATTTGAACATGCTAGTTCACTAGACGAGCTAAGTGTGAACAGGTTTCCAGGATGAATGGATGGCATTTCTTTTCCACATGAAAACAATGTTTAGAAAATAAGTTAATAAACCAGTTGTACGTAGTTAGATAATGAAACATAACGAACTTTAGTGATTTTTGTAAGGCTAACGTTAGCTCATTCTCAGATCACTTATGGTGTGAACTGCACGTCCTCAGAGTTTTTCAGTTTGTAAGAACACCAACATTGAGGGAAAGCTACTGTTTACTGACCATTCTCCTGCTTCAGAATCCATATCATCATATTTTCTTTTCTGTTGGGTGAAAGTAACACTCTGTGGAAAAATAAGTCAGACTTGCTCATGTTGTAATTGACTATCCTTCACTTAAGGAGAAGCTTCCAGACTTTTTTAAATTCCAACCATAATTGTTCTTTTTCTTTCACTATCTGCTTACATTGGATTGACACTAAGTGAATGGCTGCCCTATTCAGGTTAAGTGCATTATTTGACTGTAGAGTAGAATAAAACGACAGTGGAAGTTTTTTTTTGTTTTTTTTTTGTCAGTATTATCAGTAATGTTGAATAATTCTATAAGCCGTACCTACTACGCTTAGTATCAGTATCAGAGTAAAAATTCTTGTATCATGACAGCTCTATTTGGAGGTCTAGAAGGCAAACATTTTCCAGGCCTCTGAAATGAGCAGTGCATTCAGATTTGTACTACTGAATGTGATTGTGGTTGACAGCCTGTGTGTGTGCTGCAGCATTGGTGTACAGTTAGAATGCTAGCAGCATCTAGTCATTTAGCGTAAAGCAGGAGGGACAGGGTGAGAGCAGGCAGAGTGGGAGGGGTTCTGTTCCATTTCTATTGCCATTTCTGATTTCCACCAAATTTACACAAATTGCATTATGGGGCGGCTGGTTTCTGAATCTCATTCTGCACCCTGATTGGATTTGATGGGTTGCTGCAACAACACAGTCCAGCTGCTCCCTCAGGCTCAGCTACAGTGTATGCACACACGTACACGCACATACATCCACTCACGCACACGCAAAGACTGCAGGCAGTAACGCTGTACATCCAGTAAACAGCATCTCTGCTTTTATGATGGATCTGCCCATTAGGACTGTCACTGTTAATGATAATAGTAATCAGGTAATGTGCTGATTACTTACTTGCTTGCTTTAAAGTTTTATCCCAAAGGGCAATTTAAAGCTACACTATGTAAGTTTAAATGGCTTTAAATGGCGGATATAAAACACACACTACACCATAACCGACACCAAGTGCTTCAATACACAAAAGGAAAAATGCTTCAGGAGTCCTTCAAATAAATGTACAGGAAGGATAGATGACCCTGTTCACAAAAGCGGTACAAATTTTGACCTCTTACAAACAGGCCGGCACTAGTGGCAACAGTCTGTTTATCACAGGGTTATAGGAAAAGCTAAACTGTTGCACATACAGTACTGTCAGAGGGTACGTCAGAGACCCACAAGTCATTTGTTTAAATTCCAGTCAAAACTGATTAGATTAGATCAGATATTACATAGTCCACTTGCATAATGAAGGTGAAAGTCCCTGGAAAATGACTGATGTAACAGCAGTTTCCAAAACTGTATAAACACACTAAATGCTGAAAAAAGTAGACAATATATTTAGTTGTATTGTTCTGTTAAGTATGTTTTCTGTCTTTTTCCTCATGTTAAAAAATTAACATCTTGTAGTTAGTCATTTGTAGTTAGTGACTGGAAAGGGTCTGTGACATTTGCACAGTACTGTATTTTAGAGTAAGTGGTCACTAAACACTGAAGACTCTTCTTGTCCCTAAGACTAAGAGAATAAACCCAGCAGATACATAAAGTATCTGTTAGTTGAATAATTGTTTGTTTTAATGTACAATAACTTTACATTGGAATAGACTATATAACAAATATGATATAAAACATGGCATGTGTCTGCCATGTTTTTTTTCTTTTTTTGGCCTGTAAAAGAGACCAGTAGAATTTAAAGGTTGCATTATTATCATGCATGCTGCCACTTAATCACTGCAGACTACATTTTAATTTTTTTTTTTTTGGGTTTAGTTGAATAATTGACAATCCTACCACCCACAAGTATCTGGATATTTGATTGTGTGCAGAGAAGCAGACATGTAATGTGGATTTAAAGTTTTAGACAGATGGCACGGAGGTGAAACTCTGCCAGCGCCCTGTTACCCAGGCGATCTTTTGGCCTACTGTTCCCATAGTAACTCTCTCTCTCTCTCTCTCTCTCTCTCTCTCTCCCTCTCCCTCTGGCAGCATCAATACACACCCTGATCCTTCTCCTACACACAAACACAATCTGAACTCTTCACTTTCCATCTTAACTCTTCATGATACCTGTTGGCAACCACTGTAACCATGACGACAGATTAGAAAATCGTTTAACCCAGGATCATATCTTAATTAAAATCGGCCATTCCGTTAATCTTAAAAGCTATTCGTTTTCTGCATCACCGTTTGGCCTTTGTGGATTACAGAGTAATATGACAGATGAAATAACATTCCTGTCCTGTTTTTTCCTCCGTGTTCAATTTGTTTTCAAATTCCCTCCAGTGTGATTGGTCGTTTTGTTTCTTTTGTCTGTTCTGATTGGTTATTATATGTCCCTTCTCTTTTCTGAATTTCTCCATACAGATTGATTTGTTTTGTTTCGTCCTTCTGTTTAATTGGTTGTTGCTCTCTCCCACAGCTCACACCCCTGATAACAGTTTCCTGGGCTTTGTGGTGGAGCAGCACCTGAACGCCAGCGACATCCGGCACATCGATGACATCAAGCGACAGAACCAGTCGCTCGTCTATGGAAAAGTGGATAACTTCTGGAAGGTATGATTGCTTCAGCTTTCCTGTAATGTACACTTCCATTCAAAACTTTCAAGTGGCGCAAATGTTTAAGCATTGGCCCTTTTATTAGAAGATTGCACATTTGATCAATGGTCTGCAGTCCAAGACAGCATGATTTGCCTCGCTCTCTGTGGGTGGGAAGGATCCTCCTCCATTTAAGCCCAGTGCTAGCCATTGTGGGTGGCTGTTATCTGGTGTAACAGAATTTACTGTTAGTGTTCTCCTGCAAGCATGTTGAACTGCCAAATGACATTGCAGCCATTCAGAAAGATGCAGTGGTACATGTCTCTCAAAAGAAGCACATGCTGGCCTTCATCCTTCCAGCTGGGCAGCATCGTGTGACTGGGGAAGACCTAGCTACTGAATTGAATTCCGCTCAATTTTGGAGAAAATTGAACAAAAACACCAATATACATATATAAAAAAGAGTGTGGTAATAATATTCAAGTTTGTAGAGGTCCAGTAATTGGTAGAAAACTGTAAATATGTATTTCAGAAATGTCATCATTTAAAAACTTGAATAAAGCATTTTAAAATATCACCAGGAGACTAGTTTATAATATTTAGAGATGCACTGTATTAGTTATTATTGAATAAAAAACAAAATTATTAATATGAATATTCCAAACTTTCAAGTGGTTGTGTATGATCCTCTGCCTTTGCTAGCTACTAGTAGTAATTTTAACAGCGAATTTTATTGATATTTTCATATAAAACAAAAAAAAAAGCACAATACTAAAACTGGCCCATATAAACATGCCCAAAATAAAAGCAGTGACAGAAAAAAATAATAACAGTAAAAATGTTATTATAAATACTAAAGGTATAAACACAAAAAGCTGCTACACCACTCTTTTTAAATTTTGTAAGTAAAATATGGAGATTAGATGGTCTTAAGACAACATAGTTTTCCAGGTATTCAGAGATGTATATTGCTGTACTATTAAGAAATATAAAAATATCCCCAAATGCTTTACAGTGTAACAGTGAAAGAAAAAGAAACAAATCAAAATAAAAAAATAGTAAAACATGCATCAAATACAAACAAATGTTTTGTTCCAGATCTTTGGGTCATAAAGTTTCTTAAGTGGAATCTGGAGAAGGTTAGCACTCGTTTAGTTGTAATTTGTTGTTGGTGTTGTTCAGACTTTTGTGAGCAATGCTTTACAGTAGTCAGGACGAGGAAAACAAAATTCTAACTACTTGCATTATCTAAAATTTAGGCCGCTTGTCCATGATCATGTTGTTTTGCTAGTTATCTCTTGCTTACCAACAGAAACGATCAACAGCTGAGAAACGTGTTCAGCAATAGCAGGTCAGGAGGAAAACCATGTGTGAAAGCACAACCCATTTCTTTCGCTTTGATCCTCTCATGTGGAAAACCATAAAAACTTGGAAAAACAGTGCTGTGGAAAAGCATTTGCTCAAACTGTCCTTTAAGAACCTTCTCAATAGTTCCACCACATTGTTTCTCAGTGCAGTTTCACTGGCCTCCAGCTTGTCTTTCACGCATTTCTCCATTGTGAGCTCATGCCTGGTGAAGCCATTAGGACCCACACAGTTCTTTGCTTCTCAGCATGTGTGAATATTGAGTCTGAGAGAGTCCATACCTGCCAGGGTCAGTGGCCACTTGGAGAAATTTGCTAAGAGGAAGCAGGTTTTAGCTTTCAAATGGAAAGTGTCGGTCATTGTCTCTGTAGATGGAGCTCCTATTGAAAGGGAGCTGAAATGGAGAGTGGAGCAGAGGCTTGCTGTGCAAGCGCACACGCAGGCTGTGATAACACATGAAAACCGAATCTTTCTCACACCCGTGCTCACACTTGTTTGAACGCACCCACACCGACACACACACACTCGAGCCCGCTCCAATGTTCAGGCCCTCCGAGAGCGATAAACTCCTCCGCTTACACGCCCCTCTGCCAAAGGATTTTTTTGGCAAGTTTGGAAGGTAAAGCGTGTTTTTGCCAAATACTCCAAAGCAAAGGCTCTTCCCTGCACTTGGAGGCTAAACTGGAGGCTAAACTGAAACAAATTAGACATTTTATAGTGTTTACTACATCATGACAGAACAACCATGACCAGAGTGTTTCCATGGTGTAAAAGAAGTGCTTTGAGGTGTTTATGATTGTGTAACAGAACATAATAGGCATTTTAAACAGCAAATAATAATATCTGTTTATTATATAGCACCTTTCTTAAACAGTGTTGCTTTAAAATAAGATATAATTTTAAAGAAAAGGTTTTTTACGATCTTTCTGCAGTTAGACCATCTGTCCGATAACTAGAAGTAAGAACTTGAGGGTAGTACAACCATTCTCACTGCTTTTACTTTTTTTTATAATGTAGTACTATCAGCAGTTCTACTGTTCATATTCCTCAACCATTGTGGCACAAACAGCATTACTTCAGCAGTTTCTAGGGGCCTCGCCTAGAATTCAGCTTTCCAGAGGTGTCATCTTAGAGAGAGTGCTCAAAGTGATTCTGCTGTTCCTCGCTCCATCTTTTGATGCCGTGGGGAAATGAAGCCCCAGGGGAGTCAGTGTCAGCCAGCACGACTCCAGCTTTTGCGATTTTGCTGCAAGTTTTGATCTGGTCGGAGTTTCGTTATAAATAGGTTGTTCAGCCTGGAACAGGTTTTGGGTTAGTGCCGGAGGCTCTCTGTGATGTGTTGCTGAGAGGTAGAACTGCCACTTTACAATAAAAAGCAGATGCCTTCTGATTGTTTGCGTGTGTCTGTGTTTGAACATTTTCAGGAAGCGCAGGTAACCTATAGCATGAGGAACAACAAAATGTTGATTTTTTTCCAAAGTCTGTTAGTAGGATTAGAAGGATCCATGGTGTAGGTTTAGAAAATCCTTATTACATGTATAATATGTGTACAAGTATGTACGGCCGAGGTCTCATCGTATCGCTTCCTTTATGGTGTGGTAAAAAGCAGTAGGTTGGCAAAGAAATCAACTTTTCACAGCTTCAGACATCAAGACACGTTGGGTGTCTGTGGTTTGCTTTTGTAGCTACAAGGCAAAATACATCATTGCTGAAAACAGTAGTCACAGCTGTTATTAAAAAGATTTGATTGATTTGACTTCAGTACTGATTGTTCTGATACCTTCTTTTAAGTTACAGTTTGAAAGTAGGTGGGGCTTGAACCAGAATGAGTGTGAGTTGCTGGAAGTGGGTATACTGAACAGTAAAGGGTTTGTAGGCTAGTCAAAAAGAGCTGAAAATACCATGCGTACACAATGTACTTTAGACAGCCTATCAGCAGTCTAGATGTTGAACCATGCTTATTGGCTCATGAGTGCTAAAACTGGCTACTTTAGAGTTGAAAATTTGAAGACAATTTTTTTGGTTCTCAGTAGCATTAAAATAATTTAGTAAAATAGCTGCCATCTTGAACCCTGACACTCAGAAACGTAGAAATAGTTCTTGTATGAGTTAAGAAAACACTAATAAATCAAGGTCACCAAACTTTGAGTTGAATTAGAAATATGATAGCAGATTAGTTTTGATCAATTTTAGTAAATTACTTTGGATCCACAACAAAGCCTTATTGTTAAAGAAGACCATTGAATTCTTTGGAAATCCTTTGCCTAATTCAATTAGGTTCAGCTCTTTTAAGTGCATGTGATGCAAATAAATGTCATGTAAATGCAAAACGCTTTGGTCATTTTTTTTCGCATTGAAATTTTCACCATGTTGTTCGGGCAGTCGGGCAGGATGTCTTTAAGTGCAGAAATTCTTCGCTCCTCTGAAAATTCTTCGCTCCTCCGAAAATGGATGAATGACAACGTGTGGGCTACTTTCCAGTTTGAAAACATAAAAGTAGCGTGGAGAGTTTCACCGCCTAACTCAAGAGCTGGAACTTTGAGTGTTTTCGTATATAACTCAGTTTTGCCCCATTTGAGCTACTTTTGTCAAACACCATCCATGACAAAGTAGAAATCTTTTTGACGTTTGTGAAACTGAAGTTCTACTTGCTGGGACACTGATTAGTCATCTTGGTTGTCGCCATGCCAACACTAAAGATGGCCAGTGAGTTCATGTCGCCAGAGAAAGTTCACAAAAATTGAACAGAGGCTGAATGAAATAATGTTGCCATCTGAAATAATATTGTCATTTAGTATGCCAGATTACATGAGCTATTCACGTTTAAATTAATTTTTTGTTGGGGTTGTCGAAATTATTACATAATCACTTCATTACAGTTATTTAGCTGACAACTTTTGTTTTCCACAGTTTTTAGTATTCACAGTCAAAGTTTACGTTGCAAGAGAATGTGAATTGGGAGCATCTTAACACCTTTAGAGGACATGAGTGAGTAATGTTTGTTTATTTGTTGTCATTTGTCATTTGTAACAAAAAAAAGACAATTAAATTGTTATTCGCAATTAGCTTCATTTTCAGCTTAAACTTCTTGATAGTGACAGGCTGATTCCTTGATGTCCAAAAGTGTGAAGGCCTTTAGGCTATAAGTCTGTCCATTTTTATAGATTTGCAAGTGTGTGAGTTTGCATGCAGTTTACACAGTGCTAATTGGTGATTTAGAAGTTCCTTTTCCCTGTCAGTTACATTAGCCATGTAGCTCCAGTGGAAAACTAAAGAAGCAGGCTTTGGACATCAAACCTGTCTTGGCTGACCGACTACGTTTAGTTTAAGTGGAAAGATTATGTAAATTTGATGTTTTAACCAAAATATCACATTAAATATACACACACAACTTGCAGCAGCAGCAGCATAGCTTTAGTACCATGCTGTCAGTTTCTTCTGCTCGTCTGCTGAGAACTTTTAGTCAGCTGGCTATAGCCACATATTGACATTACCTTTTCAATTACTCATCTCACTACCTAGAGTCCGACTCAGACAGACAGACAGAGACAGAGCCGCTGAAATTGCAAGGTCTTTCAATAAGAGGTTTCCATAGAAACAAAGTTGAGTGCCGACCCGGAATTAGGAAGTGCTGTTCTCTCCAGCAGGCGTGG